CAGTGGAGTGAGTGTAGAGTTAGCGGAGCTGAAGAAGACGGAACAGTTAGCAGTGGAGTGTGTGTAGAGTTAGCGGAGCTGAAGAAGACGGAACAGTTAGCAGTGGAGTGTGTGTAGAGTTAGCGGAGCTGAAGAAGACGGAACAGTTAGCAGTGGAGTGAGCGTAGAGGTAGCGGAGCTGAAGAAGGCGGAACAGTTATCAGTGGAGAGAGCGTAGAGTTAGCGGAGCTGAAGAAGGCGGAGCAGTTAGCGGTGGAGCGAGCGTAGAGTTAGCGGAGCTGAAGAAGATGGAGCAGTTGGCAGTGGAGTGAGCGTAGAGTTAGCGGAGCTGAAGAAGACGAAACAGTTAGCAGTGGAGTGAGCGTAGAGTTAGCGGAGCTGAAGAAGGCGGAGCAGTTAGCAGTGGAGTGAGCGTAGAGTTAGTGGAGCTGAAGAAGACGGAACAGTTAGCAGTGGAGAGAGTGTAGAGTTAGCGGAGCTGAAGAAGGCGGAGCAGTTAGCAGTGGAGTGAGCGTAGAGTTAGTGGAGCTGAAGAAGACGAAACAGTTAGCAGTGGAGTGAGCGTAGAGTTAGCGGAGCTGAAGAAGGCGGAACAGTTATCAGTGGAGAGAGCGTAGAGTTAGCGGAGCTGAAGAAGACGGAACAGTTAGCAGTGGAGAGAGCGTAGAGTTAGTGGAGCTGAAGAAGACGGAGCAGTTAGCAGTGGAGAGAGCGTAGTAATAGAGGAGCTGGAGACGAGGTGTGCGGAGACAGAGAAGTGAGATTGGGTTCCGCTGTGTGCGACGACGCTGTATAGCGGAGGAGCTGAGGAGGACAGCCAGCAGTGGAGAGAGCGTAGTGATAGAGGAGTTGAAGACGTGGGTGTGTGCGGAGCAGAGCGACGTGACACTGGGAACCAAGGTGGGGAGCGAGACGGGCGAAGCACGGCCAGCGAGCCGTGGTGTCCGGGATACCGTGGAGTGTGGAGGACGCGTTAGACGGTGAAAATAAAGAATTGGTTGAAGAAAGACAAGAGTTGTTCGTGTGAAGTTCAACCACTACACAAGCAAGCCGCCACGCCCCATGCTTCTTCTTTTGTGAACTTTGGGGTATCCCTTGAAGCTGTTGTTCTCGACCTTAGTTGGCTACTTCTGTACCCCCCTTATTGAATTATGTTTAAACCCAGTGTACCCCCCCCCCCCCCCCCACACACGCACATAGCCTGACCCCTAAAATGGCTCTGAGAACTAAATGTAATAAATAATGAGCATCGCTAGTTTAACCTATTGTCCACTTTGTGAGGTATCCTATGAACTAGTCAGTGGCTTGCGAGCGAACACAAATTGAACGGACTCTGCATGCGTGACGTCATTTGTGCGTGAACGTTGTTAACCACCAATGCGTTTAGAACGGTGTTTAATATCGTTCAAGCTTACCAGATGGATTTACATTTTTTTCGTAGTTATTTTATATAATTTCCCACGTTTGTAGATCACTTCACGTCACCCCCTGGGACATTACCACGTAACCCCAGCGGTCTGCGCACCCCGAGAATCACCGCATGAAATCCTTGCAGCACTGTGCCACATCCAAGTATTATTATTATTCATACCAGGAACCTCAAATGGCAAAGTGATAAAGTGCGTCTCGTCTTGAGTAAGTGCGTGTGCTTTTTGTTTTCACGGTTGGACACTCGATGTCATTGGAGGGTGTCAACTTGTGTCCCAAACGTCAGAGGCTGCAAATTGTATCGCGAAAATCCCCCTGACGCGGAGCGACCCATTTGCGGCAAACCTCACGCCCGAGGCACGCTGACGTAGAACATGCCAATCACGTTTAGAAGAAGCGGCACTTTAAAAAAAGTTTTACCCGAGATTGCCAAACTCTGCGTTCTGGATTTGAAAACCAAAACAAGTTTTGTGGTTTAGTCCCAACCCCTCGCTTAAAGCGTATTTGGTTATACAACACCGTGCGTTTAATATCAAAGCGTCTGTGGATTCACATGGGGGTAAACAACTTTACCGAATGTGCCATATTGCTGTGCAGAGGAAATTCTATTCACCGAAGAATCGCTGTTGGATCTATCAATGATTCCTACGCCCACGTTGAGACGGCTCAGACTCAGTGGCGTCACTGGGGTTGGTGTCACCCCTCGTGGACCTCCGCCCGTACCAGACCATACAGAATCCTTAGTAATGGTTTTTGTACTAATGTTACTCGTAAATTCTAATTCCCGTATATCAATGAATGTAATGGCAATAGTAGTGACGTGAACAACTAGCAACATTTCAATTACACCTTTAAATTACAATATTTCCTTTGATTACTACTTCATTCTCTAAAAAGTTATTGATATAGGTTCACAAATACTAATTACCAAAATATTGTAGCTAAAACACCAGAAAGTTTGATAAAATCAGCGACTATAAAAACACGAGCAGCAACGAAAACAGCAGCGCGTGCTCGTAGCGCGTGCAGACGAGACCACGTGACTCGAAGCGTCACTGGAGTTGGGGCACAATGAGAGCTCTGAGCGGAGCGCATTTGAAGGTTCAAAGAGTGAACAGAGTTTAGCCTTGCAGGTATATTGATACAGTACATGTAAGCTGTGCTTATATTATTATAGTATGTGTTTTGTTTGCATTGTGACTGCAGGTATTGTGGTTAATACAGACATGAATCCTTGTAAAAAGGTTTCAGTTTTGTTGCCAGAGAAAAGGGGAAAACCCCTATTATTACTACAGGGATATTTTTTTAATATATAAAAAATAATACATTTCTGCTGAAACACTGCAAAAAAATAGTTTAGACTGTCATTTTGGTGTCACCCCCTCTGATGGTGTCACCCCCTCTGATGGTGTCACCCCCTCTGATGGTGTCACCCCCTCTGATGGTGTCACCCCCTCTGATGGTGTCACCCGGCGCGGCCCGCAACCCCTGAGTGACTCCACTGCCCAGACTGCCAGGGTAGCAGTTCAGTTTCAGTTCAGTTTATTTATTTTGGTATAGCCCTGTGAGCCATTCGGCTCTTGAATCAGGTGCAACCACAACAAACAAAAACACGAACAAGAAAAACATCTTAAAGTGACTATGTGATTGTGCAAACAGAAAATCCATGGGAAAAAAAACAGCAAAAATATTCCTGAAAAAAGCACCGTACACTACCAACGCTGTGTGCAAAAAAAATCCCAGTGGGATGCAAGTCAAACAACAACAACAACAACCACAAGAAAACTTAGATTAAGGCCATCAGTCTAACTCCGTACTACATACAACAAGCTAGGCCGTGCTGCGTCTCGTCCACTCTGCAGGACACATACACAAAGATCTCTCGTGCAGCCTCAACACACTGTCGGGGCAAGTGCTGTTAGCGAGCACCTATGAAGGCCGGCACGGCACACGAAGGGGTGGGTGGCCAACACCACGCCCGCCCGCCTTTGTCTCCCTAGTGAAGATGTTTACACACCGCACCAGGTACTCATTTTGAGGCTGAGTCAAACTGAGTATTTGCTCTGGAATTCCCTCCCACCACCATCATCATGCAGCCAACCACAAACTCTCACAAAGGCTTGAACATACGAGACTCTACTATATGTAGGAATGATAACAAAAAAAAATCCATTCTAGACATTACGTTGTTGCAAAAGTTAAATATAAACTATTTTATTTTACCAGGTAGGGCCCACTGAGCAATATATGTATAATCCAAGTAACCACGGGGAGAGAGACACGCAAACTCGGTTGGGATGTAACCCACGAGCTCCTGCACACCAGGCGAGGTAGTGAACATCTCCTAGCCCTGTCACTGTGAGCCAGGCAAGAGAATACAACTTCCTCATTAAAAACACAGTTCAACTCATGATGTACATTTTGTATAGACCATTCCGTTTTAGAGGTAAATCCATATGATGTGGCATCACGACAGCCGACGGTTAAACCCCCACGCGCAATGAGGTGGCATCCCTCCTCCAGTGCCGAAGTTCCAGGTGACAGAGTTAAACCCTCTTAGTTGACATAACTACCGCGGCACAATGTAAAACCTCCAGATGTCGAGCTGAAACCTACAATGTGGCACCACCACCCCAGATTAACTTCTGGATGTAGAGGGAAAACCTCTGGCGTGGCACCACCACCCCAGATTAACTTCTGGATGTAGAGGGAAACCCTCTGGTGTGGCACTTCTGGATGTAGAGGGGATAACCTCTGGCGTGGCACCACCACCCCAGATTAACGTCTGGATCTAGAGGGAAACCTCTGATGTGGCACCACCACCCCAGATTAACGTCTGGATCTAGAGGGAAACCCTCTGGTGTGGCACCACCACCCCAGATTGACGTCTGGATTTAGAGGGAAACCTCTGGTGTGGCACCACCACCCCAGATTAACGTCTGGATGTAGAGGGAAAACCTCTGGTTCTGGCACCACCACCCCAGATTAACTTCTGGATGTAGAGGGAAAACCTCTGATGTGGCACCATCACCCCAGATCAACGTCTGAATTTAGAGGGAAAACCTCTGGTGTGGCACCACCACCCCAGATTAACTTCTGGATGTAGAGGGAAAACCTCTGATGTGGCACCACCGCCCCAGATCAACTTCTGGATGTAGAGGGAAAACCTCTGATGTGGCACCACCGCCCCAGATTAACTTCTGGATGTAGAGGGAAACCCTCTGGCGTGGCACCACCTACCCCAAATTAACTTCTGGTTTTAGAGGGGAACCCTCTGGCTTGGCACCACCTACCCCAGATTAACTTCTGGTTTTAGAGGGAAACCCTCTGGCGTGGCACCACCTACCCCAGATTAACTTCTGGTTTTAGAGGGAAACCCTCTGGCGTGGCACCACCTACCCCAGATTAACTTCTGGTTTTAGAGGGGAACCCTCTGGCATGGCACCACCTACCCCAGATTAACTTCTGGTTTTAGAGGGGAACCCTCTGGCTTGGCACCACCTACCCCAGATTAACTTCTGGTTTTAGAGGGAAACCCTCTGGCGTGGCACCACCACCCCGGCGTGAGGACTTCCGTGGGCGTTCACGGCAGGAGGCGGCCGCCTTCCACGTGAACCGATTTCGTTCCGCGACCAGCCGCCCGCACAGCGGAGCTGATCCGCGTCGCGGCGTCAAAGGTAAATACGGCGACGATGAACGTTGCCCAGAGGTTTCGAAGCGAACTCTTATTTGCATGCCTCTTTAAAAAAAAAAAGCACAGATGTATATTTTAACTTTCCCACGAGGCCTGCAAGGTTCGCCGACCCTCTGCTAGTGGCCCGGCCGGGTTTGGCGCTTCGAGTCCCGGGGCTGCGTCTGTGCCCGACGATGCTCCCACCCTCCGGGTGGGCCTCAATGATTGTGTTCGATTTTGTTGTTGCATTAGAAGTGACAAATTGTATAAAGATAGCTTCCGTCGCATGCACTCAACGTCACGGATTTAATTTGAGTCATTGATATACCGCCCATGGCAATGTTTATTCTGACAACCTTATCCGACGACCCGCTGCCGGTTACGTCGTCTTTACTGCAACCTTTAATCAACACGCGAGACTGCGGGACCAATAGTGACGAATCACCTCTCATTTGCAGGCAGGCAAATCCGGGTGGTCCCGTGGACATCAAACAGAAAAAGCAGCCGATTTGAGATTATAAGCAACAGATGGCAAATGCCAAGGAGGGCGAAAGTCATGATTGGATATCACCAGGAAGAATAATGGAATAACTAAGCTTACTAGTTGCAAGTGAATTGATAGTTGGAAGAAAGGTTAGAAATTACAGGAGGAATGAATTGTCAGAAATCACAAAAGACATGTTGAGGAATGGGAGAGATATAAAAAGACACGTGCCTTACAACATACAGTACAGTATTGAATGCGGATAACTCATCCTCGCAGGACGCCCATGAAAGCCAAGCAGCTCATTAGGCCCTTCCTGCTAAAATGTAAGAACAATATAGAAATCAATGGGAACATGAACGCATAAAAACTCAGGATGATGATCGTGCACCAATGTTAGCCCTTGGCAAGAACAATTGAACCATAATTGATTTGAAGCTTTCATGACTGCGATCGAAACGTCGTGATTTGTTTTATTTTCTTTATTTCTAACTACGTGACTTTACCGAAAGAACCAAAGAGTTAAGCTATAGCTCATGATAACGCTACAATCTTACAATTCGTGGATGAGTTTGCATGCACATCCTGAGCAATATATCACGTCCCAGAATTTAAAACATTTTTCTGATGCAAATGGTTGGGGTTTCACACTTGAAGCAACTGCCCATTGCAGTATTAAAAAGTGTAAACTACTGGACTTGATGGTATACCTGGACATCACATTAGAAGTGGGACCAGTTCCGAGTCAGTTTAACCTATTTACGAAATTGTTTGCACACAAATGAAATATCTCAATCATGGAATAACTCAATAGTTTTGCCGTTTAAAAAAAAGTGCGAAAACCAACTTGAAGAGCAACTACAAAATGTTAAGAAAGATCAGAGGAACCAACAGAAAATGTAGAAGCCATCGACCATGTAAGCCAGAAATATAAATGGCGTGTCTACTACCATCCACCACATTTCGCAATAAGACTTCGTATTTGGCTTGTGGCTGTACCTGCAGCATTGAAATGCCCCTGCCTGCTGCACCTATTTGATTTGATGCTGTCATTTTTTTGCGAGTCGTGAGTTTGCAGGTGGCAGTTTTCTTAGTTATTTCAGCCCTCTCTGTGACTAATGCATCATCCTACAGCGTTAGATCGTGTTTAACACGTAGGCTTGCATGACCAGTATTATTCATAATAAAGGTTTTTGGGTTAGATCGCGTTATTTATAAATGTGTTACAATCCTCCACCACCCGACACGGCCAATCAGTAAAAAGTGTGTCTTGTTAACAAAACGCCAATTAGTTACTTCTTCAGCCCACCGGTGTGTTTAAAGAGTGAATCCACAACATTTACAAATTTTGAGTACGACATTTCGCTGGTAATTACATCCAGCATCTTCGGGCGATTTGCAAATTCTGGCATTACATCCAGCATCTTCGGGCGATTTTTTTTTTTACAAAAATATTGGGATGGTGTACGTTGTACTTTGTACACTATACAGGGATGTCAACACCCCTGCTCTCCACTTCTAGGTCCATCCTGACCTGGGACGGTAGACCCTGCGATTGTCCTCAGCCTAGGGGTCCAGGTGGGCCCCATTCGCTGGGAAGGGTGGCAACTGGTGCATGCGGACGAGCTACCGGTCAGTCTAGGGGTCACCCAACACCAGCAGGTGGCCGATGTACCTTCCCAGGAGGCCAATGGCACTCGCAATGGAAGAAGGGGCAAGTAATGAAGGCATTTCAGGAAAAGACCTGTACAGCTCCCTGATTACCGTCCCCTGAACACAATGTCAATGAATGTGGAATGACAGGAATATCACCACCGACCTAAACGGAATCAGCAATACAGTTGTAGATGCCGCATACAGTAGTGGAGGGGTACGGCCTTCGAGGTGGCCATCCAGAGAAACCCTTGCTTGAGGATTGGAACGAGGAATGGTGGAATCGAATGAAATGGAAGAAAAGATGAGTGTGAATAGAGAATGTAGGAGTACAGGACACAAAACTTGTGCATGTCTTCGTTCATTATTCTACAAAAGTTCTATCATGTGTTACACCACTTTACAATTACTTTTGTAATGGGTTCAACTAAGTCGCAAACGTAGACTTTGGAGGCAACGCATTTATTCAGTTCCAACACACGGAGTAACTTCCCCTTAACAGAATAACAACCTAAGGTAGTGACCACCCGTCTAACTACACTAGTCACTACACTAGTAATTTCACTAGTTACTACCCTAGTTACTACACTTGCTACTACACTAGCTACTACACTAGTTAATACACTAGCAACTACACTAACTACACTAGTTACTGCACTAGCTACTACACTAGCTACTACACTAGTTACTACACTAGCTACTACACTAGCTACTACACTAGTAACTACACTAGCTACTAGACTAGTAACTAGACTAGTAACAATGTAACTGCTACTACGGACCGGGACCAACGACTTCGGCCTGGGTCCACGTGTTGGAGACTCGTTGAACGGAGATCGTAGGCGAAGGGTTCCTTCCAGGATGAACAACAACAACCTTGGTCCCTCTCGGGACCCGGCTTATATTCTCTGTGGCATGGCCGACTCCACCCTTGGCCACGTCCACCTTCCAGAATCCTCGGGAAGGATCTGGGTCCCAATCACGTGACCTCCCCCTAGCCCCCTCTTGGGGCCCCTCTGTCAACTTAACCGGGCACGTGTCCTCCTGGGTCAACCAGAGTGCCATGGCCTCACACAACCCTATCCTTGAGTTGGCACCCACACACCCTGTCCTGAAGGGTCGGCACTGCACTTAAGGCGTGGTGCCATTTAGCGCTATTAATCAGCGCACACTGTGCCCGTCTAGGGCCGGTACTGCACCCACAGCATGGTGACATCCAGCGATGACACTACACTTTTACTCTAGAGTATTTAAATAAAAATAAACAATTCTAGGTGATCACGACTAAACACATTTATCAACAACACGGTGGCCTTAAAAGTAAAAAAATATATAAAAGTCGACATTTCAGCCAATCGCCCTTCATCATAACGCACGTGCAATGTAGAAGGGTCATTTTACTTTCGGGCTATGGCCCCTCATAGCTCACGTGCTGTAACGAAGGGTCATCGCCTGAGATGTTATCGATCCCATCATTTTCCTTTTTAAGGCAGTGCATTTGACGAACGTCTTGAGGTTTTTTTGTGACTCATTCCAGGCAATTTATACCATGCCCGTGTGTCTGCAAATGGAACGTGCACACGTCTTGAATAAAAAAAAACTTCACTTTTATTTCATCCATGGTCTCGAATACTGTTGCACAGAATAGTCTAGAAGGAGTCTGGCTCTAATGTTGTCTATTGCCCTTATCACCTGGTAGAGGCGCACAGCAGAATATTATTATCTGACGACATCTGGCGCCTTCTGGGCGATTTGGTCACGTAACGATGCTCTTTCAAATACAAGCAGTGACATCAAACTTCCACCAAACTTGTGGTGTGCGCTTACGGACATACCGAGAATCTAATCTCGCTTCATATTGAAGCGATTGTTTTACAATGTCTCGCCTGAATGGCTGTTCCAGAACCTTGTCATACTGGGAACATTATTAAGACCTTGCAGGTATTTCCCCTGAAGTTTGTCGTTTCAACCGGTATCATTTGAAAGTCACTTAATGTGTTTTACGCAACTAGCTAAAGGTCTCCCCACAAGACACCCGCTTGTGGCTTCCCACAAACCTGTGCAGACTCCACGAGATGGTGCTGGTGGCGGACGTAGTGAGCTTGGCATGGACGCTGGTGCAAGGACTTAAACGAGGCACCTGTCAAATTTACCCCCATCCTTTTTTCAAGGCCCGGTGCCTAGGGCCTTCCAGAAAGCGGGCCCCAGTGCAGTCGCAGCGCCTGCACACTGCAGCTACGCCGCTAGACGGTGCGTGTTTAACCGATCCAGCAGGGATGCTGCATGCCGAGTGAACGCGGACTGCGATTTGAACAGGTGACCTTGCGACCGGCAACTCAGAGCCATTGCCCAGTACGTTGTCATTGCCGCAGATACGGCAACACCTGATGCTCGCCAAATCATGTTGGTTAATATGTCACGAACAGTCTTCCAAAACGGAGCCGACACAGTCGAGCCTCTTGTGCTGCACTTTGCCGCATTGCTCCGAGGGTGAGGTTGTAAGCACGACACAGTACTAGTCGTACATGTTTTGTTGCTGGCCTATAAAACGACACAACGTGCCACCGCATGCTCATTTTGTTGGCAGCGTGCTTACAGAGAACCAGTTCCCTGATTATTTTTACCTTCGGGCAGTGCTGCCAGATCCATTTCATTCGGCGCTATTTCTAGTTTGCTTTTTACACGCCGCCAAGCGTAGAGACGTTCATGAGCAGCACACAGCTCTGTACTTAAACTATTGTACCCGTGTTGACGGAGCTTGCTACTTTGACAAGCCTTAATATTTCATTAAACATTTCCTACAGTAAATCTCAATGTGCATAACAGATCAGGCTTGTGGAAGATGATAATCTGTTACTTAAATGCTGTGAAAAATGTTGAGTATCACAGTAAACTGCATTTCAGTTTACACGTATGCTTTCACGACCAATATCTAGAATACAGGTTTTTTTCGGTTCACTTAAATATATGTTTATCTTAAAACGTGGGTTTTACCGTAGCCAGTACCATGATTCATATTAGTTTTTGCTTTTAGTCATGCGGTAGTTTTATGCTAAAATTATTGACACTAATCAATCCATGACCCAACAGCAAGATTGCCTCATTGACAAATATATTTCATTGACAAAGATATTTCTTGGTAAATGTTCGGTGGTTGAAGGGTTATTTACAAAAACATTTAGAATAAAACTACAGCGTGGCCTAATGCAAAAAAATAATATGGATCGAGCATGTTTAAGTTGTGTATGAAGTCATAACTCCATGTCGTGTCTCTTTCACAAGTGCATTTCTCACATGGTGCTCCGTCAAGCTTATGAATAAATGGATTGTAACACATCTGTCATCCATTGTGTAATGCTATACACTTTATTATATCGCACTTTACCTAAATATAGCAAACATCACAATGTAATGGTTCGTCCAGTGTACAAATGTATGGAAAACAATATAATATAACATTAATAAATATGGACAAGCAAGTGCGTGTAAAAAGAGTTGAACAATCGCCTTAAAAGAAGCAACAGTGGCGGAACTGATTTCCTATGCGTCATCTGTACTCCCGTGCGGCGGTTAGGTTGCCGAGCTCCGACAGCGGCCGCCTGACGGGCAGGGCACGTAGGCGCGGTGCACGCGAGCCGAGAGGATGCGTCGGTTGGATCGTCTTGTGGAGGAGGAGGAGGCGGAGGAGGCCGGGGCGGTAGTGCCGGCCCCGCTGGAGGAGGAGCATCTGGGCTTCCAGCCGCTGGTCGTCATTGAGCTGTCCCGGCATCTCCAGCTGGTGACGCGTGACTGGCTGCTCTCGCGCTTACGGGACAACGACCTGGACGGCGGTGAGGCACAGCCGGTTGCGCGTTCGCCCCGGTAGCCTTTTTTTTTTTTAACTTCCGGTCATCCTAACATTAGAGCCACTGATGTGGCTGTAGAATGTTCCGTAACGACTCGCCGTTTGCCGTGCATGGACGGTGCGAAAGAAGTTCAACATGCGTACATTGACGGCCCGCAACCTCCGGGTTCCGTGCAGAATGTCGGATTGCTTACGCCCCGTGCCATGCCCGTAGGTGCCTACCTGGAGGCTCAGCCACTGCGGGTGGGCGGTGGAGCGGACAGCGAGAGCCGCACCCTCTTGGTGGGAGCCACGTGGAAGCGGTTGCTGATTGGGGCGGAGGAGGCCGGCTTTGTGCGGCGCTGTCAGGATGGCTCCATGAGGGCCTTCACCTACCTCTCACGGCACACCTTCGAAGGATACTCTGGTAGACGAGCATCTCTATGTGCGCGCGTTTTTTGTTGTCACATATCGCTGTTGCCGAGCGCAAATCCAAAGGCCAGAAATGTCCAGCGGGCAGGAACGAACAGCATTTCCGAAGGTATAATTTTGGAAACATTAAACTCGTTTACTGTGGGATAATAAATTACACTCGGGTCCACACACACACAGGTCACCAACCACCTGTGTGCGTGGAGAGTGCCTCATTACATCCCAGATGGGTACACCAAAGACAAAGTAGAGCCTTAACAGACTGTTGGGGCAAGTGCTATTAGCGAGCACTTATGAAGGCCGAAACGGCACACCAGGGGGTGGGTGGCCAACACCACAGATGAAGCCAGAGTGCGGCTTCATCTCTGTTTTATCCGCCAACCCCTTATTAATTCAACGAATATATTTGTTAGAAACAAACCACCTGCTTGCTGTACTGCCATCATCGCATACGATTAATGTCCCGCGGTGTATCCGTGCGTGTGTGCGCTGCGTTACAGATGATAACGTTGCGTTCCTGACGATGGCCGAGCAGCAGTACATCGTCAAGCACGCGCTCAATAACCTGCGCGCCAAGGAGGAGATCAGCATGCCGGGATACTCCGACATCAAGCTCTACCCGGGAAAGTCCGTGTGTAAGTCACCGGCGTAATAAGCAACTTGGGAGGGAATTCGCACAGACTCGAGCCTTATTTTAGAGAGTGCAACTCAGCTGTCTTGTGAAAAATATGCGCCAAGGCTTTATTTAGATCCTGGGCTGCACGTCTTGGGTGTGAAGCTTCCTCGTTCATGAGAAACAAGGGAGAAAAAAAGCATGCATGCGCTTGGATTACGTCACGCTCTCTACGACGTGCGTCTATCCTCTGGAAGTGTTTAGTGATGCCGTATGGAAGCCGACGGATAGCTCTCGGGGTGCAACACGTTGGTGTTTTACCGATGGGTACCTGCGATGGCAACGTCAATTTGCATATTTGAAATTGCTTCTGGTTTGTTTCATCCAAGTTTTGGCCATCCTTTGATACATTTGGCCAGTTTTCAATCAGGTGAGCCCTGAAATATTGGGTCATCCATCGTATGCCCCTATTAGGGACAGATGGATAGACAGACGGGCAGCACGAATACATACATTATTTAAATATTAGTTGTAACTTGCTCCAAAACGTTTAGAGTTCGTCAGGAGTGCCGCCGTAGCGCGTCCAAGTGGCATCACCCAGGTCACATTATTTAAGCTCATCCACAAAGTGGAATTCTTCCACCAAATATCTGCAGAGACATGCAAGCTGCAGTGGAGTTTGCATGTTTTCTTGCCAGTAACAACCTACCCATCAACCACCTACCCATCAACCACCTATCCATCAACCACCTACCCATCAACCACCTACCCATAAACCACCTACCCATCAACCACCTACCCATCAACCACCTACCCATCAACCACCTACCCATAAACCACCTACCCATCAACCACCTACCCATCAACCACCTACCCATCAACCACCTACCCATAAACCACCTACCCATCAACCAGGACCTCAACATTGTACCTCGGCACCAACTCAAAGTTCTGATCCCCCTTCTGCGCAACTTTTGAATTGGCCCGTGCTGAAACTATCGCTGCATGAAGGCTTGCTTGTCTTGGCACCACTAGCTGAATGAGCCCTAGACTGTGCACCTGAAAAATAGCATTGATGAAAAGTGTATGTGTTTAAACGCTCTGCAGAACGCGGGCAAAATGTATTGACTCCCTCTAACGTTGTTATCGATTGGCTGTCACCACCCTGTCTCCCTCCGGCCACCGCCCCCCCGATGCCACCCCCCAAATTGTGTCTTCCGCACGTGGATCAGTCCGCCGCTTGCAGTCCAAACGGCTGCTGGTGCAGATCTACCCACTGCACGACACGGAGGAGCTGAAGAAGCTGTCGGCGCTGTGGTACCAGCAGGCGAGGCCATCCTACCAGCCTTTGGGTGAGTGCCGGCTCTTATGTGATGCCTACGAGCTGTCACCTGCGCCGTCAGAGCTCTTAATTACTTTACACACGTTAAAATTAGCATGTAGGTTTCCCGTAGCCTGTCCAAAACAATACGGATCATTACATACGCATTACATTATGCCTCTGATCAAATAACTCGAAATATGCTCTCAGAATGTAAGCGGAATTGGGCCTGGTTAGTGCTGGGACGGGCAGCCAGCGTGCGTGACCGGTATAGCAGCGGACGAAATTGGGCAATGTAGAAGTGGTGAGCTTCAAGGGAGGAACTGAAGGAGGTTAAGGGTTGCGGACTGCTCTCTCTGCCCTGCCTATGTCCTCGACCCTCTTTCACGATCTACAGAGGTGATCCGACGCTACTTTGGGGAGGAGATTGCGCTCTACTTTGGCTTCCTGGGCTTCTTCACTTGGGCGCTGGTGCCCATGGGACTGGTAGGCCTGCCCTACTACCTGTTTGCCTGGGAGGACTTTGACAAGTACGTGGTGTTCGCGGGACTGAACCTGGCGTGGGCCACCGTGGTGCTGGAGATGTGGAAGAGGCACAGCGCGGAGCTCGCCTTCTGCTGGGGCACGCTGCTCATGAGACACGACTTTGAGGTGCGACCAGGCCAGCCTCTCGCCTCCCCCCACACCCCATCAGCCTCTTTGGCCATTCACATCTGTGCCTTTCACAGATACACATAGGGACCCGGACCCTTCGACTCCCATTAGACTCACGCGGAGACCTACACGATGGACTCGTTATCTCTATAGAAACTAAATGCGCCCACTGTTTATTCTGTACGGTGTCCTGAGATGTGGTCACATTAATGCACGATGTAAATCTCAATTGTATTGGAAATGCGAGCCACATTGCTGTATGTTCTTATACATTGCCTCGGTTGGGTAGGGTAACCATGAAATCTGCCGGCTTGGTACTCCATGCCAAGCTACGGGTCCTCTCGGTCACACATTTTGCCATCTCTTACCCTATGCTTGTGAACGGAAACACCTGTGCCCCTCCCTCCCTCCCTCCCTCCCTCCCTCCCTCCCTCCCTCCCTCCCTCCCTCCCTCCCTCCCTCCCTCCCTCCCTCCCTCCCTCCCTCCCTCCCTCCCTCCCTCCCTCCCTCCCTCCCTCCCTCCCTCCCTCCCTCCCTCCCTCCCTCCCTCCCTCCCTCCCTCCCTCCATCCCTCCCTCCCAACCTCCCTCCCCTCCCCACGATGGTAGGAGCCGCGTCCGGGGTTCCACGGGGAGCTGGGCACGAACCCGGTGACGGGCCGCAGGGAGCCCACGTACCCGAGCTGGCGCCGCTCGCTGCGCGTGTACGCCGTGTCGGTGCCCTTCGTGTGCGCCTGCCTCTACCTCTCCTACCTCGTCATGGACGTCTACTTCTGGATGGAGGCCTGGGTGCTGGCGTGGCGGCACAGCGGCGACGGCGACGCGGACGAGGGGGGGCCGCTGGCCGTGCTGGCGCTCTACGTGCCCAGCGTCATCTACGCCGTTGTCATCGAGGTCATGAACCGCGCCTACCGGTACCTGGCGGAGCTGCTCACCGAGTGGGGTCAGTGGCTGAGGGGGCGGCACCGGCCGTTACGTGTAATAAACCGCCGTCCGTCTTGTCGGCATCGCCACCGTTGTCATCGTCTTCATCGACAGATGGGAGCTATCCACTGCTGGATGAAAAGCCGTCGCGTGCTGTCGCCGAATGTCCCGGTCCCTTATCTTGGAATAATCCGACTCTGCAGTCTTAAGATTTTTGAGAGGACATTGGGAGTAGTGCTGCGATGTTATCGGGAGTAGTTCTGTGAGGTTATTTGGTGAGAGCCATTGTCTGGCACAAGGTGTGGCAGTGCTCGCCGCAACGAGTTCTAAATGGAGACGCGTCCCTTCTCGTGACGTGATGCCGATAACAGAATTGGAATATAATTGGGAAGAGAAACAACGCATTCTGAATTTGTTTATATAATGTATTGTTGATCGATAATAAACAGTCGTGTGTAATCATTTACACGATTGCCCGACAATGATGTGACGATGCGCTGTGCCACTGGTTTAGCATGGGAGTGGTTTGTATTGGTTTTGTGTTTTTTGTTTGACTCAGAAAATCATCGTCTGGAGTCCACGCATCAGAACCACCTCATCCTTAAAGTGTTGGTTGTGAGTATCATTCCTTACACGGTGCCTTTGAGTAAAAAAAAAACACGCACGCTTCCTGCCAAGAACACATATCTAAACACAACGCCGGCATCAGTATCAGGGCGTAGTGTCTGTATGATGGGATCACTGCGTCTCTTTTGGCGGCCAGAAATGTGCCATAAATTCCAGATTCATGTGGCAGGTCGCAGTCTCTCCATGGGACACCCATGATAACAAAACATATATTTAGCAAGCTGATGTTGTGGGCAATGGCCCTACGTCAAAATAAAACTATTTCTTGATGCTGCGTTGGCAGTGGTACTCGAGCACAAATAAATAAACTCAACAAATTGGCCTTGAAAAGAGAGAATATATTAAGAGGCGACGTGTCAGGGATGACCGTTCCTTCATAGCCCAAAGAGAGGCCGGTAGAGGAAAATAACTTTTCCATTTGGATCACTCTACTTCCCTGGCCTCTCCATGTGGAAAGTACACTGTGGTTCCCTTCAGAAGGACTTGTCCTGTCAATCGAATGTGGAATTTCCAACGCTCGCTTAGTGCCACCGATTGGAGTTGATGAACCACCGAATGTTTAATTATCCCACAAGCGTGGCCCGAGCCCCCCCCCCCCACACCCCGCTTTGAATTCCTGGAACTAAATTTAACGGCACTGATCCTCAAGAAAAGTGGCCGCATTTCTCTCACGTTGACGATCGCCAAGGCCTCAACGCGCTCAATGGGTTTCACTCTTCCCCTTGGCAGTTCAACTTCACCAACTGCTTCGCGTCTCTCTTCTACATCGCCTTCTACATGCAAGACATGAAGCTCCTAAGACAGGTTTGAATTTCATGCTCACAATATATAGTGTGCACCTTTTTAGACCACCTATAACTATCAGTACAAAGTCGAAGTTACACATCTGTAACGCGCCGCGCAGACACAGAGGTGCGAGTGAAACGAAAACGCGTTAAGCGAGCAATATCTGTATATGCATTTCCGAGCAATAAGTAAATACAAACAATGCACATTTGAATCACATTCGCGTGATAAAATCAGCCTGTGGTCAGCCGTCCCATGACGGGACAAAGAACTGAGATGAGGGTACTCCACCGCGCAGGATATCGTTCCGCGCGTACACCCAGAACACTCGCACCGCGCAGCTCAGGAAAGTAGTTCGTCATCGACAGCTTAGAAAAGTGTCCCTAGATGGAAGAACCGCGTTGTAGCGAAAACACGGTACGTGAACACCACGGGTGAAGCGAAGACTTACCGTGTTAGCCCTGTAACGAGGTTTTGTAAAAGTGTGTAAAGATCTTTCAACTCTGCTGCCCCCAACCCCCCAACCCCCTTCCCCTACACAGAGCCTCGCAGCCCTACTCATCACATCGCAGATCCTGAACCAGTTGGTGGAGTCCATACTGCCCTACTGGCTGCGCAAGCGCCGGAACCAGCAGATGGGATGGTCGAGCTCGGAGAAGGCGCCGTCCGATCACAAGGACTCCCCCCTGCGCCAGCAGATCCGCATCGAGGGGGAGATGGACACGTACCTGGTACGACGCCGTAGCTCCGACTACGCTCCCTGTCGCGTTGCTACCTCCACGATGCGATACGATGTGGACTTTCTAGACGTGACGGTTATCGCGTTACCTGTGATTGGGCTTCCGAATTGTTTCGGTTTTGTGCGTTGCTGTACCTCCAGGAGGGATGAAGATTGCTGACAGATGCAGGTCACTCAGTGTGAACCTGACGCGCATCTATACAATACAAGAAAAGACAGTTATTTAGCAAATCGACTAACTGAGCAAATTATGATAGCTAATAATCATGCATTTTTCTTACTGTGGAAAGCATTTTAACAAAGCATTAATTTGATGGATAATGGCTGTTTAATTTACCGATTAATTAATTGTTTCGTTGCTTATTCAATATTGTGTCAGGAAATAAAATAATGAAGAAAATTCAAATGAGTCCCGGTAATCACAAAATAACGATATTTAGCAAAGAAAAGGCGATACAGTCACCGTTGGTCTTGTACGATGTACCGTTCTATCGGGACGTCGTGGCAAACCTACCCTCAGCGGTCACGTCAACGACAAACAGCCAGACCTCCACCACCACCACCACCATCACGTGTGCAGCTCCACGGCCACAGCTCACAGAAACAATCGCTCTTGAGGGACGAACGCTGCTGGCGCGCCACAAAGCAGTTGTGGCCGGACGTGCGCTACTTCTGTTCACCAGGGCAGCCGTCTTGGTGCTACGGGGTCCGCACGCCGGGCATGCAATGCGGCGATCGCCGGCTCGATTTGATCTCCTGCCACGGCGCTTAAAAACAACGGTGCAAGATTCTTAATTCTCCCCACCACCCCTCGCCGCCGCTGCGCCTCTGTGCCTCTGTTCACCCAGCGGTGTAGATGATGACGCCACGGTTCGTCGATCGGCGGGTCACGTGCGGTGTGGTGAAGTGTGGGAACCCACCGTCAGCAAGACACCTGGCCAGCACGTGAAAGTACACCTCTAGACGGGGGATCTAGAGCTCCGGCTAATGGAGGGCCTTCTGCTAGCAGTGGCACGAGCACACAATTGCAGGCCCTGCGCCCTTACCTTTGTGATCAAGTTCGAACCCCGCAAAGTCTTCAAACTGGCAGCCTTCCCGATTGGGACTCGAACGCTGTAACCACAGCGCCCCCTGGTGGAATAACAGAATTCTCGCGCGACCGCAACGGCAGCTATTGGCGTCCATAACGCGCCTCCCCTCCCGCGCCCACCTGCGTCCCGCCCCCCGCAGGGCACGTTCGACGACTACCTGGAGCTTTTCCTGCAGTTTGGCTACGTGAGCCTCTTCTCGTGCGCGTACCCACTCGCCGCCGTGCTCGCCGTGCTGAACAACATCACGGAGGTGCGCTCCGACGCGCTCAAGCTGTGCTGCGTGCTCAAGCGGCCCTTCTCCCTGCCCGCCGCCAACATCGGGGTCTGGCAGGTACGTGCGTGCGTGCGTGTGCGTGCGTGTGTGTGGTGCATCGGCCAGTCATCTCAGTCAATCCATGGCACCTGGGTCTGTCCCGTGACTACCTGCCAGCAGGCATTCAACACTTTGCGTGGCCTTAACGTTTACATAGCCTGGCACAAGCGCCGTGGTGATGTTAACGCCAGTTTGTAGCGAATGGCAGTTGTTGTTGTGGGTATGTGTGTGCGTGCGTATGTGTGTGTGCGTACGTACGTGCATGCGTACATACGTGCATTGGTAGGCCCTCCCCTAGGTCTACTCGCCCTTAAATGAGTACCTGCTGTGGTGTGTGAACGTCAGCACTGGGTAGAAAACTAATTTATTTGAACTGCTTTTTCAGTTTAGTTTGTTGTCCTTGCCCCGCACATCCGATTAACACGGTTGGCTACGTACGGTGCGAAAGCAGTTCAACATACATACATACAGTCCCTAGAGCAAGGTGGCCAGGAGTGGTTCTGGCCACACTACCACCACCACCACCACCCACGCTTGCCCGTGTTCCGTGTCGGCCATGGTAGTTGCTCGCTGAACAGTGCCCGCCCCAGCAGTCTGTGAAACAGTCACACGGGGGGCTCTCTATTGCTTTGGTCTGACATACAATAACGTGCACGCTTCTCTTGCAAAAAAATGACCACGTTTCATAGCATTGGCTTCAAGCTGTGTTTGAAATCATCTTGTCTGTTAATTTAAGAAAACCCACAGCCGCCACACCCAGCTCCCAGTGAGTTGCACGTGTTCCACAGCTTGTAGGCGTGGCTTATTGAGAACGCGATGTCGAGTCGCAGTGGAGTGGCGACGTGTGCTGTGGCCGGGGGCGTGTGGGGACCGAGACGAGAGATCTTCTGGGTGAGGATCAAAGCCTTAGAACACCGATGGACCATGTTGCTTGGGGGTTGAGGAGGAATGTGTAGGGAATCGACACCGTTTCATCGAGGCCAGCCACCACTTTCGTCAGGCTATGGACTTTTCCATTCCAACTTAGACAGTCGCCCTGCCGACGCCGCCGCCTCCTCCTCCTCCCCACCCAACGGTGCGTTTCCTGCCCCGCCGCTCCCCCAGCTGGCCTTCGAGGTGATGGGGCTGATGGCGGTGATGACGAACTGCGCGCTCATCGCCATGTCCGAGCAGGTGCGAACATTTTTCGACCAGGACGGCAGCGTCACGCTCAACTACGTACTCGTCATCGTCGCCGCCGAGGTGAGACGCCCGTCGAAATCCAAGAATCCCTCCCTCCCTCCCTCCCCCTGGACCCCAGCATCCCCACCCTGTGATCTGTAATGCGGTTATCCGGAGACCATCTGTGGGCCGATTGTCTGGATTTCTGGTTAACTGTGCTCATTTGCGCCTTTCACGAGTGCCGGTTCCGGTGATGTGGGCACAAAGGACTAGGTGCCCGTATCACAAGTGAATCGATTGCTTAAAATAAAATACACACCGCACATTCGATGTCTCTTCACCCCCATTCTACGAACGCAAGTACGAAATGTGTGCTTTTTTTTCATAAACTAATTTACTTGTTTTGCGTTATCCTTATTTAATCCGGGCTACCTCCACCCTGCAATTGCCCTGGATAATCGAGAGTTGGATGTATTTGTGCCTCTCAGCCCGTGTGAAGTCGCGTGCGTGAAGGCGACGGCATAATTATGGGTGGGCTCGCTGCTGGTCCTGGCAACCACGAGTTAAAATTCCTGAGCGTGCGAATACATTCGGAAACTTATCACAGGCCTTCCCTGGGTGGGCGAATGTATTCGTCGGGTAGTACCGGGTGCGGGTGTGCGTGCGCGAGCGTCAACACTGGGGAGATGGAGTTTGGGGCGGCCGCCGTTGTTGTCAAGGCCCCTGTTGGGGCCTCGCGAAGAAGGCTCCCGGCCGCTGCTGCGCTCTCGGGGCCCCGGCGGTGAATGGCGGTAAGCGGTGGTTGTGAGCGCGGTGGCTGGGGCTCTTGTGTTTGTTCCTCAGCACGCGCTCCTCGCATTGAAGTTCATGCTCACCTTCGTCATTCCCGACAAGCCGCGCTGGGTGCGGCAGAAGCTGGCACGCATCGATTACGAATCCCTGCAAGCGCTCAAGAAACAGGTGAGCGCTTTGTTGCCTGCTCGGGTGTTTGCATGCAGTGACTCGCTCGCACGCAGGGCTGTCGACGGGACACAATTAGTTTGGCGTAAATGGCAGGTGAATGAAATGAAAAAAAAAAAGCTAATTATCCAACCCAAGAAAGTCTTCCTGAATCTCGAGGCCCTTTATCAGAAGGGTCAAAGTTTGGTCGATTCCATTTTGATTTGTGGCATTTGGAAGGAAACCACGGAGAGGGCTGACTCTGGGCACTGCCAGCCTATGGCCGCTACACTGCCCCACGCCTACAATGCCTGGAAAGCCCAGAAATATCCCCCATTCAAGTGCTAACCGGGCTCAATCATGTTTAGCTTGTGGGATACGGTGAGATCAGGTGCATTAACTCTGCTTTGGTCATTCTGATTGATTTCTCATCCAAGAGCGTACACTGCTGTAAACTTGTAAAAACTAAAAAGTGCTCGCGCACATGTGCAAGTTTAGAGAGACTCTGTGTGACCTAAGCAGAGGGAACTTTGACTTTTAGTATAGTGCATGATTGGATATATGTTACAGAAATCTATATGATCTTGAAAGCTAATGTGTACCGTTTGTGATGTGTGCGTGTCAATGTTTGCAGAAAATTCAGGTGTTCAAGTCCTTGTCTTCAGAACAGAGCACCGGCGACTTCCTAAACAGCGCGCTGGGTGAATAAATCACAGAGCAAAGCGAGCAGCAAAGGCCAAACCTCCCGAACGATCAGACGCGGGGCGCCCTACGCTGATCTAAGACAACGGAAAAGAAAAGGTTACTTCCCACATAACCCCAAAGCTGCTTCATTTCTCATTGGATATCTTCTGGGTCGCCATAGGCTGGAGTATGAATGTGACTGCTAGTGTCTGGTCATAGTGGGATGTGGTGTGGTAGAAGTCATAGCAGGACGTGGTGTGGTAGAAGTCATAGCGGGATGTGGTGTGGTAGCAGTCATAGCGGGATGTGGTGTGGTAGCAATCATAGCGGGATGTGGTGTGGTAGAAGTCATAGCAGGATGTTGTGTGGTAGAAGTCATAGCAGGATGTGGTGTGGTAGAAGTCCTAGTGGGACATTATTTTACGGCGACCCAGACAGCCAGACAGCCAGCTGATGTTAAGCTCTGCACTTAAACTTGTCCGTTGTAAGATTATTGACATGAAACGGAAGTAACTTCTGCGATTGTTTACACCGCACATATAATTACACGCTAAATAAGATATCGGAAAAAGCCTTCCTAAATTCTAATGGAGATAAAAAAACGGTCATGCTACGTTGCTGTAACTAAATGTGCACAAAATATATTTAGTATTGATATTCAAAAAAGTAATATACTGTAATTAAAAGTGGCTGAAACGTAACCTTTTGTTTAACTGTAAAAATTCTATAAAGAGGTTTGTGTATTTGTCCCAGCGTTGTGAACGGTAACTGAGATCTCCAGAAGAGGTGCGGTAATAAGTCGTGGATTTGCGGACTCCGACCATTTGTTGCAGTGCTGTAACCTTGACACTTTATTTGCCTTTATTTTATAATTACCAAAGTGCGTAACGGTGCGCCAGGTTTATTATTCGGCTCGTGACGAGCATTTACATTGACAATCCTTCAGTGATGAAAGAGCGCGAGGAGGGAAGTCGTTTATTTAAGAGCACGTGCTCCTTCTTTCACATACACGCACACAGTTCTGTGTCCTCAGCCCCAGCCTTTGATGATAGCCCAAAGACCCATCCCAACTTGGCATTAGCACATGACAGGACAAACGGTAAAACCCCCATAGGGTATCAACGGGAACTCTTATGAGATGTAACGGAGTGAAAACACTTCGTCTCTTCCACTGGAGAACTTTCTAAAAGGACAGACGAGAGAGCCATTAAATTGGAGAAATCTTTGACGTCTTCATTCCCTGCCTCTGTAATTTTGTCTGCCGTCCGTAGGACGTTCCTGTTATAGAGAATAGAACGTTGCTTTTCAGTTCCCATCAGAATTCAACGGTTTGTTAAAAAAAAAACTCTTATAAGATGACAACCTCCCATAAAGACCAAGGTGAAAGAGGTCACGGTGCTCTTATTTACGATAATAATACGCCTGAAGAGCGCTTCAATGCTCTTGTTCAGAATAGTTCCGCTTGGAATGTGCGTCCAATGGCAAATAGAAATGGTGCCGAGTTGTAGCGAAACATTTCACAGGGACGGATCATGTGTTTGATATGTTGTGCTTCACGGTTTCATCCGAATGGTGATAGCCGCATCGCACTCTTGAGACGATGGATCCGTTTCAACTTGCACAAAGCAGTGCTTCCATCACCCTGCGTCACAAAACTATAAATAGGCGTACGATGTCTCCTTCATATAACCGTCTCTCCACATTGAACATGACGCGGCTCTCATCAGCAGGGTCAGGCTTGCTTGGTTCAAATCAAATTTGATGTCGAAACTGGTCCAGAGTTTGCTTGCCTTGAAATAGTGCTGCTGACATTGCGCACTCCGACACGGCCCTGCGGCTGAAGGTTTGTGCAGGGAACACTTTTATTGTCGTGTGGAGCGACGGCAGAGTGGCGGAGAGGAGTTGTTTATCCTCCAAAACAACACGAATCACTACTTTGAGTTTTTGTGTTGTAAAACGATCTGCGGTCTGAATTGTTTCTGAAATCTCATAAACTCTCGTAGAGTGACCCATCATCCACACTGGGGTGCACTGTTTTCCCACCCACCCTCTGTTACCTTTGGCGCATCTATGACAGTAAAAGCAATATATTTAGCCAGATGCAGTGCGGAGCCAAATTGTCCGATGATTACTTTATTGTGCAGTCCGCTGGTGACCGACGGAGACAATCAACTCGCCCCGCTTGAGAACCACCCCGGTGCATTCCCAGGCAGCGGTTGGGCACCCGGGTTTGAACCCAGGCCCTCGGCCGTGACGGCTCCGCACTTCTGACCTCCGGGTCGCCCACGGCCCCCTTGCCCCTTGTTTATCTTTTTTAAAGTCAAGCCATTATTTATGGAAGTAGAATTATCTTCGTGCCAGTTGTTGAAAATGCTACTCGGATCAGGCTGGTAAATGGATGCGTGGATTAGCTCGTTAATTTTGTTTTGCGCGGGAGATGTAGCTTGTAGTCTGGTCTTTTGCTGTTTGAGGTCTGATAATTGCACGTTGCTTTGTAAACATTTAACAGGAAGCAATTCGGGTTGGAGGCAATGCGTTTTTTTACGTACCGTATTGTAAATGGTGTTTTTGTTATAATATTCACTTTGCTGTAACTGAAATAGCAATACGAGTCTCTTGAAAGATTGCAGTTGGAGGATTTGCAGTTAGCATTGCTCATTGCAAGTATTCAAATAATACAATGCTCTTGGTTAATACTCTTCATGCTGTATGTTTGTGAGCAGTTTGGTATATAAGTTGTACTCCAGCAGAAAGCTAACATACTTCAAAGAGAACAAACACCTTGATCAGAGTAAAATAAAACTCCCATCAGGTCACAATTACTGCATGTAACAAAAATGATACGTAACAAACAAAATAAGTGGTCTACCTGTTAAAAATATTTTGGAGCAGTGCTCATCTCCGTTGGCACACCTGAGCCAGTGTTGGGCATTCCACATTCCTATGGCAGGAGGCCAGACACTGCCAATGAGGCGACCACTGCTGTTTTACCTACCCCAGGGAGATGATGAGCCGAGTCCAGCCGAGGTCGGGATTTAAATGCACAACCTTCCGATTGCGGTTTGCGTGCTCTTAACGGCATTGCCACTCCGCCAGATATAATAAAAACAAGTGCGGTGTGGTGAGACCTGGCCCTCGAGGATTATTGCACCGTGGACACCGAGGAGCATTTTGAGAACAAGTGCCTAAAGTGAAGACCACTCGGGATGCGGAGGGTAACGAGCAATTTGGAACTGGAGTTCGTAGCAAGTAGAGAGGAACTGAATTCCCAACTTGCCAAAGTCCAAGAGGCGATGCACTGTCAAGGCGTTCATGGGGATCACGGGAACACGGCCCGGTCGGGATTGGGTTCAGTCCAGCTCATGTCAGGTCTGATGACGCAATTTTAAGTCTGATATGAACTGATGCATCGTTCTTGAACTCTGTTTTATGGCAAGTCACGTAAAATGATCTTAAGCTGGTGGTCCATGTGATGTCATGACATCACGTGATCATGGTGTCATAACAACGTCAGTAAATGTGACTCCTAATCTGTGCTTCTGGAGGGCTCTCATTGTTATCTTGTTTATCTTGCGTTCCTCTCACTAGATCGTCTCTCTTGTCCACAGCTCTCTCATATCCATCGCTTTGTGGACTGTCGTCTGACCACTGTGTGTCTCTGTGAACCATCTCTTGGTGGGCCCCTCCACGACATCTCCGTGGGCCCCTACCTGGCCCATGGGCCGCCAGTTGGCAGAACCTTGCTTCCGTCGTGTAAACACAGCTTCATGACAATTCATGATCAAAATAAGTGATGGGATGGCACTAACAGAGGTAACAATTGCAAAGGTCCAACCAAAGAGGAGGACATGGAGCTCCAGTGGAGTCCGGCATGTGCTAGAGAGTTGTGGGTCATCTTGTATGAACGGAGGGTTGTCATTCCAGCAGCAGAATAAGCATCGCTCCTGGTGATGTGTTGAGTGTGCGTGTATAATGGGTGAATCCGTGGTGAGTGTTGAATTGCCAAGTTGGTTTCAACTGGTAGGGTCATTTTGATTTTACAACTACAGCTGGGTTTTTAAAGCCACAACTCTCTAACCCACCACAGTGCAGGTTCCAGTTGTTTAAAATCATCAGGTGCATTTGAGTGGATTGAGATTAGTAATTATGGAAATGCAAACAAGTGGAAAGTGATGGTGTTTTAGGAATCCCGGGCCTTAATAACTTAAGGTTAAGAGTTTCACAGGTTAGTTTGAAACTTATAAATTGTTAAACATTCAAACAAGTGATTACATTGAGTCTCATGGAATACTTTCACCCAACAAAAGCTCGCGAATCTCTTGTTCATGGGTTGGGAGCCGGTTGCTCCAAGTGAAAACGGTACTTGGTAATGTTTTGTTCACCCGGTGAAGGGTCGGCAGGTTTGCTTTGGTACGCTGAGCGTTGTTGTTGTTTTGCGTGGACACGTTCTGGCTGTTTCTCCAATTCTGCGACGGTCGAGTCAAAGTGTCTCCCGGCTCAAACGAACAATGGGGGCCGGTCTGTCTGTAGCAGGACTACAGAGACTCCTCTACTTACGAACGAGTTCGGTTCCAGATGTCTGTTCGTAAGTCGATTGTTCGTAAGTAAAGGAGTCCCTGTACATTCCACACAGCCACGCGGGTCCTGCCACTTCGAAACGGCCAGCAAATGATTGACATTGCTGCGTTGATATCAGCCGAACCAATCGGGTGCTGGGCAGGGGGGAGTAATATTTTCTATCTGGCAACACTGTTTTTAATTGTAGTGCAAGCACAGTGACCTGTTGTCTTTCAATTAGTTCTAAGGTCACAAGCCAATGATTACAGTCCTAGCTTGATCGATCAACTATTATTATAATCAACAACAGTGTGACCCGACCAAAGGTATCTAAAGTCATGTTCGCCCCTTCGGGATCTCTGTGACGAGCACTGTCGTAACAATCGAATGTGGCCTGTCCCGGGCAGTGTTTGAGCAGCTCCGCAGTGTGCCACAGGCAGATCCACGAACTTCAATTCCACATTTCGAACTATGCAACGGCCGAGTATGGGGCATTACTTGCACCGACACGTATACAGAGTACATTCACTGGGTTCGTGGATGGCACATTGTTGCTTTGAATGCCCTCTGTATTTGCCGTGTAATTCAGTGGGTCACGAGCCCTGTTCCACTGCTGCTTTGCTCCAGCTGTGAGATCTGGCAGGAAGAAGTGATGGTGTGGTGGCAGTGATCGTTCATCTTAATATTCGTCTTAAATGCCTTCTTGAAGAGTGACTGAATTGGGAGGTTTTTTTTCTCTTGAAGGAGGTGCCAGCTCATTGCCAGTTCAGTGTTGGTGGAACAGGTCAAATAACATTGCAGGACAAAAACGAAATTGTCACAATTTTCTCCAGATTTGGTTAAACACATTTTGCTGAATACTTTCTTTGTATGATCATCCAACACCCTATGGCCCTGTGCTTCTAACCTCAATACCCAATTCAAGTTCTAAATGTTCTTATTCTTTAACTGATGGATACCCTCTGAGTAGTTTTAAATGCCACTCCATCCGTTTTAGGGCCATTTGTCAACCGTATGCCGTAATATATTCACTGAGCTGGTGACATGTGTAGCATTTGTTTGCACGCCCCCCCCTTTTAAAGCCTGGTTGTGTCTCACTTCAGCATGCGCTGAATGTGAAAGAATGGCCAGTTTCTCAAGGTTCCTGTGAATTAAGGGGCTGCAAGTTACTGCCATGAACACACGCAAAGTTTAAAGTGGAACGGTTCAACACAGTGGTTTAAGCACTTGTCCGTCGTGTTCCACTTCGACAATGTTGTCGACAGAGTTCAATTCCTTACGAAAGTCGTTTGACACTTGCGTTGAGTGCTCTTGCTTTTTGCTGCAATGCACTGTTTGGTGGCCTATGGGGAAAGGTCGTTAACTGTATTATTAATAAGCTGCCTTCACTTGCATAATGCAATATTTGAAAGTTTATGGATGCAAAAAAAATAAATGTCTCCAAAAAGTGAAACGGCTTTTGTTGTGAATTTACAGGGATACATTATTGTTCGTAGTTTTTTTAGGAATGGTCATTTTTTTATCGTTTGACTCAACTATTCCGGTATTGTGCATGGGAGAAATTCAACTCAACTGAGACAACACAAATTCCACTCCTGCAACCTTGCTGCACTGCCACATACGTACAAGCACATCGCTCGGCAATGGACGAGAGTGTTGAGAATCCTCAAGTGATCTCTGGTCCACAAATTAGAGAGCACTTTCACACCCACTCTGCCACGGAGTAATTGTTTATCAGTCGACTGAAACCGATGCTTTTAATCCTCAGGACTGAAATGTTCCCATTAAGTGCAGGATCAAATGTAATTTGGTGGGTTTTTGTGCAGTCATTGGTGACCTGACAGATCAACTCGCGACACTTGTGCACCCTGTCTCATGACAAGTGGCTGTCTGAAGGCAAATCCACGATTTCAGCAGAATGTTTAGTTTTGTGCTCCATCATCGAAGCCAGCCCAAGGTGTTCGTGAAGCCCCAAAGCAAAGCGGGGACGAGTTGCAGACCACGAAAAACGCTCGGCACAATTTGAATGCTCAGAATTTTTATTCTCACTACGAGGTTCCACTTGTTTATGCAAAGACAATGACAGCATCCAGATTTTATCCACAACCTCCACCACCCCCACCAAAGTTATTACATCAACCGTGGAGAGAACCGAACTTTAAAAGGACCCTGCACACTTCACCAGCGAGAAAGAAACTACAGATTATAAAGGGCAGCTGGCGTGCGCAACTTCGTGTCGATGGGAGGACACTGTTTAGCTGCCCAGGGTCAGCTTGTCAAAGAGGTACTCTCCCATGCCAGACTGCGGCACTCCCAGGCGCTTGAGGTTGGTGACGTGGTCCCCAAGCTTCTTGATGGACTCCACCTGCTCCTCCAGGAACTCGCTCTCCAGGAAGTCGCACAGCTGTGGACACAACATCAACAACATCAGCCACGGCTTCATTGGTCAGGGAAAAGTTTCATGGGGTGTGGTGGTCGCTCAAAGTGACTGGCGACTTGTGGACGTCGTGGAGTGTGGCCGTGGGACCAAGCGGGAGGACAGCTTCGTAGCGAGAGAGCCGCGGGTTCTGAGAGTGACCACAGGGTGCTTGGGACCCGAGCCACCGAACGTACGAACCTGCGGGTCGGTCTTCTCGCTGGCCAGAGCGTGGAGATCCAGCAGGGCCTGGTTCACGGTCTTCTCCAGCTGCAGGGCAAACTGCATGGCCTCCAGACCACTGCCCCACTCGTCACGCTCCGGCTTCTGCTCGCACACAGACGGACAGCGACGGGAAACTTCATACAGCGAACGAGATGAGACGACGACGAGAATCGGACGGATTCACAGCCCTCGGTCGCCCCACCCACGCGACACAGAGGTCCCCGGGGCGGAGACGAACAGAGACGGTGACGCTCCAGGCACACTGCGGATCGCCCCTCCAAGGCTTTGACCTCACCACCACCCCCCCCAGTCCCCCCCCCCCCCCTCCACGTACCTTGATGTCCTGGAGCACGGCGCGCCCGCCGCGCTTGTTCTGGTACTCGAGCAGCTTCTCGGCGTGCTCGCGCTCCTCGTGCGACAGATCCTTGAAGAACTTGTGGAAGTGCTTCAGGGCCACGTCATCGCGGTCGAAGTAGCTCGCCTGCGGTTCGCACAAACAGCGGCGACAGTGAGGCCAGAAGCACACTCCCGGCACTGTGCCGGGTGGGTGCCGAGATCTGGCTGCGTGCGATGGTGCGTCATCCTCGTCGTGATCTATCCACTGCTAGATGAAGGACTCTCCAAGTCGCCACCATCCATCGCGGTCTCGCAATGCAACAAATCCACACAGCAGCTGCGCGCGATGCGACAATTGTGTCGATGCGTCGAGATGTGCGAGCGTGGCTGTGCGCGAGTGAATCTCTCCGCCAGGCTCCACGCGGGTTATTGTGAGCGACGTTCAACTCGTCACTCGCCACCGACGGTAGCAGCCGTGGCCGGGAATCAAACTCACGTGGCCAGGTTCACAGCGCAGCGCGCTAACCACTGCGCCACCGCTCCCGCCCGTCACGAGGCACTTAATAATAAACTCGGCGGGCCGCTCCCCGGGTCACGTGACGATGTTTTCGAGGGCGGCGCCGTCACGTGACGAGGCACCCAGAGTCTAGGAGCCCCGCGGTACAATCAGCGTCCGTGGCGATTCAATTATCATATCGATTATAAACTGTGTAACGATGATTAAATATATTTTTTTATTCCTGGCCAGTAAGTGTTATTTTCTAACTTCTTATGCCTCTAAAGTACAGAAAATGGCTATTATTATTATTACTATTCCCCACAAACTTTGCTTTTGTGACCAGGACAGTGATATTTTTAAATTTACCTATTTTCAATGAGAAAACGTGGTGTGCATTTGTGTCTTTCGTTCACATAAAGTCCTGGTCACAAAAGCAAAGTTTGTGGGGAATAATAGACATTTTCTATACCTGTGAGGCATAAACAATTAGAAATAACACTGCCCAGGAACAAAAATCGTGTTACGTAGTGGTGTTACTTTTACCATTTATGATCGCAGCGGCCTCTACTGGCTGGAATGGGCCAAGTGAACTCATTCTCACGGAGACATCAACACGGAGACAACAACAACACAACACCAACATGTCCGCGGGCCTTTGTCAACCCACTCCCCACGCAGCGTGGGTTGTAGGGGTTTGCTTGACCATACTTCACCACGCTGGTCAATGCGGGTTGGTGAAGGGGTGGGCGGGAGGAGGCGGGAAGGGTTCGGGGTTGAGGAGGAACGCTCAGAGGAGAGGGGCCGAGAGACGAAGTCCTCTGGAGAGTGCGGGGAGAGAGCGCGGAGAGGAGAGGCGAGGTGGATGGATCTGGATGCGAAGATCGTGGAGTCCACCGCGGGAGACCCCAAGAGTCGTGGACATCCCCGCGTGTGGAGGACGGCGCGAGCAGACGCCTCGCTCGTCGCAGAGGTGACACGACGAGAGGGGAGTGCGCGCTAGACGAGGTGAGAGTCGGAGGTGAACTCACCAGGGACAGGTAGACGTAGGAGGCGTAGAGCTCCTGGTTGACCTGGCGGTTGATGGCTGCCTCCACCTCCTGGCTGAAGTTCTGACGGATCTGGGACGTCATTTTGTTGTTGTTTTTGTTGTCGTTGCTAACGTTTGAGAGTTAACTGAGATGACACAGGGGGTGAGTTCTGTTCAAGCACTGTTGAAGCAAGAACCGCGTCCTGTGTGAGCTCCAGAGACTGTGAGCGCTGCTGCCGGGCCCCGCCTTTTATAGGCGCGAGGAGCGCGCGCCATTGGTCGGCTCCAGCCCCTCCCCCCCCGAGCTCACCTGTGGGGGCGGAGTGGGCGGGGCCCAGGTGACCTGTGGGGTGGGCGGGGCCCAGGTGAGCCGTGGGGTGAGCGGCCTCGGCCAATGGGCTGCTCCGGACTCCGCGTTGCCCAGGTGTGGTGGTGGGGGGGGGTCCACTCGGGGTGTTTGGTGGAAACGTCCATTGTTGTAACAACGCTGAACCGTCCGAGTGAAATAGATCTTTCTATTTAACTACTTACAACAAAAGAGCCATGTAAATATTTATTGTAACAAAAAACTATGGTGATAAAATAGCAAAACTGGAACAAGATTCCTACTGTTTGCTGGGTCAATACGGGAACTTCAGCACGATCAGCAGCGCGATTACCCGACACGAACGTTCGGAGAGGCTGCAGGTTTAATTTTCATCAGAGAGCTGTCGATGTTTGGTGTTTTACGGCGTTCTAAACACCGCGTGGCACGTCCCACCATGGGTTTCCCGGTCTCACGGAGGGATCAACATCGATATCAGAGCGTCCACGTTCATCAGACGCGGAAGAACATCGATGCTCGAGCGATGTGTCGGTGTGTTTTGCCCAGCCTTGCTATGATGACATTCATCTCGGTTGGGTTATAATGGTCTGCCTTCATAAATTATAAGTATATGTTCGATTGTATACTGTATGGTCAATTGGTTGAGAAATCGTTCCCAAACCTGGTTTGTCTATATGATTGGTTGCCCTCGATATTTCCCATTATTCTGTTTCCACGGGTGTTAATGAGCGATTTTAATCTGTGCGATAGGAGCCTAGAGGGTTAATACTTCTTCTATTCAGTTTTATTAGGAGCGTGACATGCTGTTCAGTTGCAGGATCGTGAGATGGCTACGACTTGATAGAGGACTTGAAGTAGCAGTAGATAGATGATGGTGAAGGGTTAGACAATGTTATATGGTGGCACGTGCAGGGCAATGACAATGGCTGCAGTGTGAATGGCAGTGCAGTTGGCGGTGTTGCCGCTGCGTCCCCGCTGCGGTGAAACTTGTGGGTGGCCGAGCCCCCGGGGTTCAGCGCTTCCCCCGTAAAACGACACCAATAGCGACATTCACACCACGCAACTTGACACGCGGCACATGACTCACAATGTCGCGGCAGCATGAGTTGGCAAAATGTGCAAATGTTTTTATAATAATCACCCATAGTCTGTCCACTGCTGGATCAACTTTTCCCCAAAATTGTCGACATTCCTCACAGTCCTGCGACGTGACGATCTAACAACGAGCTCCCGCACGCGAGACGATGGCTCCGTCCCCTCGGGAGAGTTCACACCTTTGGCTGCCGTTCCATTTCCAGTCTCGGCCCTCGTCGGCTATGCCCTGCCCAAGTTATGAATGTTCGTTTTTGTCATTTAGGCCTCGGTTTGTGAGCGCTTGGACGACTGCATTGGATTACACGGATTCGGTTTGACTCAGCGTGGTCCACAAATAATCGGCACAAAGGTATTTTTATTCCACCGGTCCTCTACAGAATCGGGTCGATTGTTATCGTCCACGGGTCACGGGAGACATCGAGACCACCGAAGGTGGCAAATCTTTAGTTGTACCGATGTATTTATACGGCTGAGAGTGAATCACTTGATAACCTCTAATTTAAAGTGGTTATCACGTGATTCACTGTTGTTGATTTTTGTGTTGAGCTTGTCCTTCCTTTCCGCACCTCCGATTACAATTGTTGGCTCCGTGCCGTGTGAAAAAGTTCACACGTACAATCGTCATTGCTATTGCTCGAACTTGCGCTTGGGTCTCCGGTACTTTACTTGATTTCATTTCTGTCTCTAATCGCAATTCGAAAACGAGTTCGGCCATGGTGTGCTGGCGTGGTGCCACGGGTCAACATGTGAACATTATGGCGGGACCTCCCATAAGCCCCTGGCTCTCGCGTAAACATTATGTTATGTACACAAAAAAACTTTGCTGTTATTCACCAATGGGTTTTAAGGATGGTGGCAAGTGTTGCCTTGTTAAACTGTGCCTTTAAAACTGAAAACTACTTGCCTGCAGTACCTCGATTTAAATCCACTGTCGAAAAAATCATTTACACCCCTCTGTCAATCGTGTTTCTCAGTGTGGATTTGTCAGCACACTTTGTAAACAGTATCAAGCGTTTATACCAATGTTACTCTACAGAGTAGTGGGTCGCCGCTCCTCTTATCCGCATTGATATGAGCGGTAGGTGGGGATTATGGCTTAACCGCAAAAAAAACCTATCTGCACAGATGCATACGGACAAAAGAAGTATTATCAAACAGGAGGAATTAACGGGGCAACGCATCTCATCTGTTAAATATCTGCAGGTAATAGGATTGTCATCGATTGATCCTGGCTGCAAACATTGGTAGGTCACAAATAAAAATGAAGATAAGAGAGCAGTTTCATTGTAGTATTCATACCGTGATGACAAGTAAAGCACTTGAGTCGTGTCGGCAGTTTGAGCAGCTTTGGACAAGACTCGTGATCCTGCCCATACCCAAGCATGGAGCGCATTCGCTTGTTCAGCTGCGCTTGGACGACAACAGAACGATCCGCGCCAGGTGGGTCACGGCGTTTATGTGCGCGGTGGGGACGGAGTCGCCAAACATAAAATTATGATTTTGACTTCCGTTTATTCGGGACCCCGGGGTCCCGCCTAAGATTCCTTTGCCAAATTTGAAGACGTCCCCGGCAACCAGTGGCAGATTCTCCAAGTAGTAACAATAGCTACACATGTGTAGTAGTCACTACTACACATGTGTAGTAGTCACTACACATGTGTAGTAGTCACTACACATGTGTAGTAGTTACTACACATGTGTAGTAGTTACTACACATGTGTAGTAGTTACTACACATGTGTAGTAGTTACTACACATGTGTAGTAGTTACTACACATGTGTAGTAGTTACTACACATGTGTAGTAGCTACGTATGTAGTAGCTACATGTGTAGTAGCTACGGACCCCGCACTTTCAAGGGCCCCGCGCTAAATGCTTTCAAGTGATCAATTCCGGTTCAATGATTTTGCACTTGTTCTATTACTATAGTACTATACCTCCTTCAACTTTTATGAACGACTGGGTGTTTAAGGTTAGCGATTTGCCGTATTATCTGGCTTTATAGCAAATGAAAAAATACAATGACTTTACTATGCAAGTTCAAAATTTGTGTTTTAATATTAAGGTGTTTTTTTTTTAATTTAGGGCCCCTTTATAACATCATGCTACAGGCACCGCACGAGCTTCATCCGGCACTGCCGGCAACCTATCCATTTGGGATGGTACACGAAGCGCCATCGCCCCCCTGCCTGTGACAACCACTGCAGACTTGTAAGGCGGCGCGCCTTGGCGATAAGAAGGTCGCAGAGTCCCACATGGTACTCCGTAGTAGTTCTCTCTCGCGACGTGGACCCATCGCGTGGTAGAAACTCATTCGTCTCAAACAGACTCGGCTCGCGTCGGCCGTCGCCCTCTGAAATGGCCGCCAATCGGTTGTGAAATGTCGCGAGCAACGTTGTGCCGAGACGAACAACACGAAAGTCACCGACACCTTCGAGTGCCCAAGGGAGAATAAATGAAAAGGTGAAACGTGCTTTTTTTTTAAGGGGGGGGGGGGGGCACGACCGCAAACCCCGCGGCAGCTCATTAACCATTTACGTCTCGTCAGCACGGCCCCGTATGAACCTGTTTGCTGCGGGTGGGATGTGCGTCAGCACGGCCCCGTATAAACCAGTTTGTTGCGGGTGGGATGTGCGTCAGCACGGCCCCGTATAAACCAGTTTGTTGCGGGTGAGATGTGCGTGAGCACAGCCCCGTATGAACCTGTTTGTTGCGGGTGGGATGTGCGCGTTGGGTTCACTGGGACACAGCGAGCAGCGATCGCTGCCGGAACTGAACCGCCCCCATCACAGCGCGCCGAATGCTTCACCTGACGCCGCGTGGAATGGCTCCGGGTGCCGTCAGCAAAACGAATCAACTAAAACCGCCTGGCGCACCCAATCCGTCAGCCGGGACTCTAAGCTGTCACCCCACACGGTTTAGAACCCCGTGTGTTCTTGTACAGGGAGATTTGGGTTTTCAGGTCCGTACGGCGTGACAGCCGCTTCAGTACGGGCAATTTATTTAATCTATTTGTGTTTCTCCCTTGTGATGGGACTTTTGTAGGATGAACGTTTAGCTGTATAAGGGGCACGGGGTGACCAATAAGGTCTGAGTTGGTCTGTAATAAGGTAGGGCACTGAGATAAGAGGGTTGACAGGTGTGCGGACGACACGTGGTGTTACAGGCTATAAACATGTTCGAGTGTATGTTGTTATACTGTACTCTACATCGCATTATGTATTCTAAAGTACGATGTATAGACCAGTGGTTCTTAAACCGGGGGGGGGGGGAGGGGTCCAGGCACACTCTGGGGGTGCGAGACACGGCCAGAAGGTAAAATCGTCTAAACACAATTTAAGCACGGGCACGACGAGAATGAAAACAACGTTGTTTCAAACCCCATTGTGTTTATTAACTTTGGTCTCAATCGTAAAAGAACATGTTCAAGCGGCGGTGCAAGGCCGCAGTAAATGTTCAGAACCACTGGCAAAGTCTTCCACAATAAAGCACAGCACAGCACTAAACATTAACTTTAAAAACAAAAACGTGACGGCGCGAACGAGACAGGGCAGTGCGGACGAGACAGCTCGACAAAAGAGAGCAAGTACATACGACAGAACAAATTAGAACTTTCAAAACAATGAGATTTGTACAAATATAATTGACGCACGAGACAGTACAAATATGACAAGCAAACACGGGACAGTGCAGGCCAGAGTAAAAACTGGATTAAAACGAGAGTGGACATCTGTGAAAAAGAGCTTTATAGCTCATCGGATTCCTCCAGTATTAAATATTCTGAAATGAGATAGTTTGTATTGTATTGCTTGTATTGTACTAAGTGGAATTTACAAAACATCAACGAGACAGACAGTTCCAACAAGATGCACAGCACAAATGAGAGTGTAAATCGGAAAATACACACGAGACAACTTACAAAACAGTACAAGCGACAGTACAACGAATGTCGGACAGGACGCAGACACACACGCCCCTGTAATGAAGTAGAGCCCACGCCAGGCAGGTGTAACACATGAGACAGCACACACAGAGAGAGAGACAGCATGCACCAGAGAAACGATACAAACGAGACAGCAGGCCTGCAGACACGGGCAGTACAAACGAGGCAGCGCTATGGACAGGGCGGGAGCGAGAAGGAAAGTGCGTACGTGACCAGGGGCACGGCACGCAGCCACAGCAGCAGCGACGATTCACGTCACCTGAGCGTGGCCACGTTAGGCAACGTTCACCGTGTCTTGCTGCAGCTGGGCAAGCTGGCTACAATGAGTCCTCACCTGGCCACGGCTCAGCGATATAAGACACGTGGGGTGGATGATATATCGACAACCAAACATGGTCGCTCGGTGTCTCTGCCACGGTTCGGGTTAAAGGTCACGCCGTTGCCTTCGGATATCCGTGTACACCATTCCGTGTACACCAATCCGTGTACACCATTCCGTGTACACCAATCCGTGTCCACCATTCCGTGTACTCCAATCCGTATCCACCATTCCGTGTACACCAATCCGTGTACACCATTCCGTGTACTCCAATCCGTGTACACCAATCCGTGTCTACCATTCCGTGTACACCATTCCGTGTACACCAATCCGTGTCCACCAATCCGTGTACTCCAATCCGTGTACACCAATCCGTGTCCACCATTCCGTGTACACCAATCCGTATCCACCATTCCGTGTACACCAATCCGTGTACACCATTCCGTGTACTCCAATCCGTGTACACCAATCCGTGTCCACCATTCCGTGTCCACCAATCCGTGTACACCATTCCGTGTACTCCAATCCGTGTACACCAATCCGTGTCCACCATTCCGTGTACACCAATCCGTATCCACCATTCCGTGTACACCAATCCGTGTACACCATTCCGTGTACACCAATCCGTGTCCACCATTCCGTGTACACCAATCCGTATCCCCATTCCGTGTGCACCAATCCGTGTGCACCAATCCGTGTGCACCAATCCGTGTGCACCGATCCGTGTCCACCATTCCGTGTACACCAATCCGTGTAAACCATTCCGTGTGCACCAATCCGTGTACACCAATCCGTGTACACCAATCCGTGTCCACCATTCCGTGTGCACCATTCCGTGTACACCAATCCGTGTCCACCATTCCGTGTACACCAATCCGTGTCCACCATTCCGTGTCCATCATTCCGTGTACACCATTCCGTGTACACCAATCCGTGTACACCAATCCGTATCCACCATTCCGTGTACACCATTCCGTGTACACCAATCCGTGTCCACCATTCCGTGTCCATCATTCCGTGTACACCAATCCGTTTATCGACATGTTTAGACGGAAGACTTAATGCTGCGGTTGAGTGTTGACACTTCAACAACAGCCTCCATTTTAAATGTTACTCTCGGCGAGCTTGACATCAACCATTTTCTATGACTACAAACATTTATCTTTACTGTAAATAGTTCACAACAAAAATGTGGATTCTGATGGTTTACTGTAGAGTACGTGGAAGTTGTCACTCAACGCAGTGTTTGACGTGCCACACACACACACATAAGCACCATCGCCCCAACCGCGGATCTCTCCTCACCCCTTGCACGCATTTTTCCGTTCCTTTTCTATCATTTCCCGTTCTTTATTCGCTCTCTTCCCCTTCCCAATCTTATTTCTCTATTCCTTGCATTACGTCTTCGACTCTACTCCCCTTCCCGTGGTGTTGCCGCAGGTACAAAGTTGCTGATATTCTCTCTTCTGTGCCGCATGATGATGATGATGATGCGAAATAAATCATTCATCAGCAGTCGTTAGACCGTGGATCCCAGGGCGCCCTGTGCAAACTCATGGCGACTCTCAGCTCGTGGAAGCGTAGACTCCTCCGAGTTGTCAGTGTGAAAGCAGATCGTAAGTCACGCGATCCCTACGTCCACTTGACACCACGGTTGTGTCATCTCAGCAGCACGGCAAGCGCGATGATGCGTCACCCATCGCAGATTAATATTTCACGTCCTGTGTCCAGGCCACGAACGTCCACGGCGAGGAAGGCGGCGGCTGTCCGGCCAATGGCGAGCGCCGTCCGTCTTTAAAAGTCGGAGCTTCTCCTCCAACGCTCACAGTCTCTGGAGCTCACATAGGACGCGGTTCTTGCTTCAACAGTGCTTGAACAGAACTCACCCCCTGTGTCATCTCAGTTAACTCTCAAACGTCAGCAACGACAACTACAACACCAACAAAATGACGTCCCAGATCCGTCAGAACTTCAGCCAGGAGGTGGAGGCAGCCATCAACCGGCAGGTCAACCAGGAGCTCTACGCCTCCTACGTCTACCTGTCCATGGTGAGTGCCGCTGCCTCGAGGCCAACGGGCCCGCATGTAACCATCATCACCATCATCGGTCATGTTCGATCCACGGCTGGATGAAGGCCTCCCCCAAGCCGTTGCCATCTCTCACGAGATGCAGCAACAGAGATGCGACGAGGCCGGCTCGTGCGCAGGTGCGAGAGGCAGCACCTGTGCACGCGCCACCTTCACCGCTCCGTCTCCACCGTGGATGTCCTCCGAGACGCGTTCCCCCTCGCTACTTTGGCTGCCTCTCCGTCGTTACTCTCCACCGCCGTCCATCGTCCCTTCTCGCGCCCTACCCTCGCAGCCCGCGTGTCCCAGCGGCCAGTTCGACGCCCCTGGCTGGTGCACGTTCTCTCATCCCCACGTTCCTCTTTCTGAATCGCTGGCATTCCAATCATGACCATCCCCATGCTCATTTCGAGATTCTGTTCCAGTTTCCCTGTCACTGTGAAAGTTTCTGTTCCATGTTGGAGCATGTGATACGTACTGTGCCGATCAAAAACAAACTTCTTCTGGCACACTGCCATGTAGACTCTGCATTATTCAGCTCGGTTTCGCAGAGGTCATTAAAAACATCTCTGTTGTGCGTTCTGCCAACCGGCTCCACGTTGCGCTATCGGGGTTCGTGCCGCAGGACGAGGAGTCCGTCGCGATCCTCCGTGCGGCGGCGGCGGCGGCAGCGCAGCCGCCCTCCGTGTTAGCGAACGGCCCAAGGAAGCGGATATCGCAGAGCTACCTCTGAGATCCCTTCAAGTGACCTCTGACCCACCACACAATTAGAGGGGGATACATTTTCCTTCAGCCCGGCCACCGAGAGTAATGTTCATCGCAAGATGGTCAAAGTGATTCATTAAAATCAGAGATTAAATTTAGAAAACTTGACCATCACATAATTAGTAGTGAGAATTGGCGGAGGTGTGAATTGCAGATGGATTCGATCCCGCTGTGACAATGAACCCAACATCCCCTGTTTAAGCCAGACCTAGAACTCACAATAACAAACTCTGACAGAGAGACTCATACAATATTTACTGGTGTACACCTTCACAAATATGTACACAATCATGACATCGTGCGCAGCTGCTGTGTGGATTGTTGCATAGTGAGACCGTGGTGCATGGTTGTGACTTCGTGAGGCCTTAATCCAGCAGTAGATAGATCACAGATGGATGATGAGGACGATGATGCACCATCGCACCCAGACTGCCGGCTGGGTGCCGAGATCTGTGCCGGGAGTGTGCTTCTGGCCTCACTGTCGCCGCTGTTTGTGCGAACCGCAGGCGAGCTACTTCGACCGCGATGACGTGGCCCTGAAGCACTTCCACAAGTTCTTCAAGGATCTGTCGCACGAGGAGCGCGAGCACGCCGAGAAGCTGCTCGAGTACCAGAACAAGCGCGGCGGGCGCGCCGTGCTCCAGGACATCAAGGTACGGGGGGGGGGGACTGGGGGGGGGTGGTGAGGTCAAAGCCTTGGAGGGGCGATCCGCAGTGTGCCAGGAGCGTCACCGTCTCTGTTCGTCTCCGCCCCGGGGACCTCTGTGTCGCGTGGGTGGGGCGACCGAGGGCTGTGAATCCGTCCGATTCTCGTCGTCGTCTCATCTCGTTCGCTGTATGAAGTTTCCCGTCGCTGTCCGTCTGTGTGCGAGCAGAAGCCGGAGCGTGACGAGTGGGGCAGTGGTCTGGAGGCCATGCAGCTCGCCCTGCAGCTGGAGAAGACCGTGAACCAGGCCCTGCTGGATCTCCACGCTCTGGCCAGCGAGAAGAAAGACCCGCAGGTTCGTACGTTCGGTGGCTCGGGTCCCAAGCACCCTGTGGTCACTCTCAGAACCCGCGGCTCTCTCGCTACGAAGCTGTCCTCCCGCTTGGTCCCACGGCCACACTCCACGACGTCCACAAGTCGCCAGTCACTTTGAGCGACCACCACACCCCATGAAACGTCTCCCTGACCAATGAAGCCGTGGCTGATGTTGTTGATGTTGTGTCCACAGCTGTGCGACTTCCTGGAGAGCGAGTTCCTGGAGGAGCAGGTGGAGTCCATCAAGAAGCTTGGGGACCACGTCACCAACCTCAAGCGCCTGGGAGTGCCGCACTCCACGACGGGAGAGTACCTCTTTGACAAGCTCACGCTGGGCAGCAGCTAAGCTGTCTCCGTCGCCCTCAGCCTCGCCACGCTCAGCCTCTCTGTATCCCGTGACTCCTCCTTGAGAAACGGCATTTGTCTGTTGGTTAGTCAGTCAGTCAGTTAGTCAGTCACAGCATTCGCTTGAGTCATGTTCATTGTTCTGTTCATCGCAAAGCAAGCACAACCTATGACCTTTGACCTAGGTCAATAAAACTCACCGAAGGTTTTGAGCTTACTAATCTTAAGGACTGTTTCAAAAGTCTAAACGCTCTCATTCCATCGCTCTTAACGGTTGAGTTAGGAAGAAATGAGTAGAATGAAGAAAATGTGGGGGACAAATTTATTTTTGGGGGGTGGGGGGGGGGAGCTAAAGGCATGAAAATTAACAGGAATTTTTTAATGAATAAAAACGAGCACAAGTACCCTCTACACAAGTACCCCCTATGTCAGGAGGTACTCGTGTAGAGACATCTCTGCCTCTGTGTAGGAGTGTGCACCTTCGTATCCATACCCAGAGACGTCCCCAGCACCGTGCCCGGTGCACTCGGCAGCGACTCGCAGACAAATCCCTCTTCTCCCCGGAGGCAGTCGACTGCGACCTGTCCAATTATAAAGGCGCCTCTTCCTGATAAATGCAACATCGTCACCCGAGTCATAAGCACGGTCAGAGTCGACCACGGGCAGATCACGGAGGAGGAGGAGGAGCGGAGCGCCAAGCGGGCCGGAGCGGCCGTGTCCCTGGCGGGGCGCGGGGTCTCTCTGCGGCGACTCTTCCCGTGGCCTTCACTCTCCGCCTCTGGGCGGTGGCGATGCTCCAACCGGGGTGTGAGCGCGAGGGCCATCGAGATGGAGCTGCTGTGCTGAGAAGGAGCCTCTAATAAAGTGTGACGAGCATCACCCATTGTCTCGCTTTCATCTTTATACAAAGAGATACAGAGTATGCCATTGTTAAGATCCTCACTGCATTTTACGATAAAAGGCAGCCATCCCCCCATATCGCCACAACAGACTGTTGGAGCAAGAGCTGTAACCAGCCACCTATAAAGGCCGGCACAGCACAAGGGGGGGATGGCCAGCACACGCCCCAGTGGTGATGTTTACACATCACACCAGGTACTCATTTGAGGTCACGTCGACCTAGGGAGGCCAAGACCAGATTCAGATAATCATCACTGGGGTTTGGCCGCGAGCAGGAATTTAACTCAGGGGTGGCTGGGTTCGTTGCGCATCGCGCTAACCGTTGCACTCCGGCTTCACACAAAACTTAGGTTCACATTTTACCATCCATTACCATCAACTGTATTTAGAACCAGGCAAGAGCCGATGAAGACTCTAAACCACGTGGCCAGCAATCGAAGCCACTGGCAAGGATTGCTGCAGTTTCCCCATCACTCCCCCCCCCCTCGTCACCTGCAACCAAGCGGATTGAAGCTCCAGGGTGGGAAACTGGGACGGTGACCGTGAATCAGCCGAGCCGCAGCTGGCGTGGAACTCGGCCTCAAGCCCTTCACTCGAGCGATATGGGAATCTATCCTGGGTCTCCCCCTAGGTCAACTCGGCCCTAAATAAGTACTGTACCATGAGAGCGGTGTGTGAACATTGGGATTGAGGAGACAAAGGGCGGCCGGGGCCGGCAAGGTCCTGGCCACACCAAGCCACCTCCCATGTGCCGCATTTCATCAAAAGAATGTAGTGAATTTATAACACAGCAATGACAACAATAGGAGCACGGTCTTTAGTAAAACATTTTATTTTCTTGCAGCGTTTATGAAGCCAGCCACTCACATGTTCTGATACCGTTTGAATGTATTTTTTTGTGATGCTCTCACCTTATAGCACATCACTCCCCACTTGCTAGCTTAAACGCGACATCGGTCCCGACGCCAATTAGGGATGATACAAAATCCTCGCTGTGAAGTCGCACGAAGCCACGACAACAAAAAAACCGCCGAGATGTTTCGATGCCAGAGGCCGCGATGGCTGCTCAGGCGCTCCGTACGCGACACTTCAAACCAGTTGGGGACAAACAGTATTTACACATCTCATCATGAGCAACATCGAGCCGTGTATTTTCACTCACGAGCCACGAATGGCATACCATACTCAAACTGGTTTCAAGGCTCGTGGCCAACAGTTCACTCTTAGTGAATAATCATGATGACAATAAAAACACAGCTATCAAACCCAGAGATTCTTTTTTTTATTTCACAGCTGAGTCATGCAAAAAATAATTGTCAACGACTGCCCCCCCTCCCCCACGTTGAATATAATTTGTGTCCGACCCGTCCCCCATCCGATATACCCCCCCCCCCACCCCGAAATCATAGTAAACAACCGAGCGAGCACACGCACACCGAATCGAGACGTGAAAAATAACAAACGAAACAGACCAACGTTCAGCATTCAGCCGAAAATTACACTTCCGCTTGAGAGCCCTCTCCGTACCCAGACCGCTTTACCAAGCCAGTATAAAATTCCAGAATTCCCAGATTGGAAAGCATTCCTACTTTGAATGATTAGGAATCAACGAGTGGAGGCGAGAGTGGTGGGTGGAGGGTTTATATATATTTAAAAAATCACGCATTAAATAGCAAATTGTGACCACGTAATAATACGTGGTTGCTACAAAATATTGAAAAATTAAAGATATCTCCATTAAGATCACTCTAAATTCATTATCATCACTCTGGAAAACAAAGTATCTTTATGCGGCAAGCATTCAAAAGCTAAAGGTTCACAGTACCACAGAGTGCCTTAATTCAGCCAAATAGCTTGTTTCTTACATTCAGGGTAACAACAGCATTTCTGTGGTGGTAGGGAAGGTGGTGCATAAGATGCATTATCGCGGCTCAGACCATTTATTTTTTGGGGGTGGAGGGGGGCGATGCGAGACTGACCGGGGAGCGCGGTGGACGCCTGCCAACAAGCGCGCACGCCACTGCGCGTCGCCGGGAGTTGCCGGACGCGGTGGCGCGCGGTGCCAACGGGAGAGTGCGAGCACGAGCGCTGCCCTGCGGCGGGTGCCTCTGTTCCACTGCACCACCGAGAGCGTGCCAGGGCCGTGCGCTGCGCGAGCCCGGAGCGCCGCTTAGGTGGTTGCCAGAAATGAATTTTTCCAACGAAGCAGAGCCAAGCGGTACGCTACTGATGGTGCATGTAATGAACGGGTTGAGATGCGACTGGGGGATGCAGCGACGCTGCGCGTGCCCTCGCAGTGTACCGGACCTACGTGGCACGCAGTAAACGTGCCATTAGCGTTAGCCCCTGGCCCGACTTGCAACGGAGCCAGATTCACACGTCTTGCAAGTCCGGCGTATCGTGGTTTGGTTCTGGCTCGGCACGGCATGGAAAGCCGGTGGAAAACCAGCCGCGTCACCGGGGCCTTGTGCTCGGCTCACGTGCCAGTGGAAAAAGGGGTACCACCATTGAGCTCCAGTTGACCGACGAGGCGGTGGTGCAACGCGGCTCCCTTGGGAGAGGAGCAGGAACGCGATCGCGATCTGGGAAGACTGGCATTTCCCGCACGGAAGCTGCTCGCCACCACGGCTATTGGCGCCGCCGCCGCCGCCGCCGCAACAGGCTTTTGCGGTTGTGCCGTGCGGCTCTCCCGAAGCGTGTTCGGGTCGCGCCGAGCGCCTTCCGGCGCTACGTCCGACGTTTCGTTTCCACGTGCCGGGGAGATTTTTCTCCAGCACGCGAAGCGAAACGACGAGACAACGTACAGCGGGGGCAACACCAGAAGCACATCGGAGAGAGCTTCCGCACGTCGCCGAGTGGAGGGCGGCGATGTCGCCGGAACGACGCCGATTCCAACGCCGCTCGATTTGTGACAAGCCGCCCCCCCAACGGCCGATGAGACGCTCGACGCCGACAAACGCTCGATTCGCTGTCGCCAATTCAACCCGACGTGTCCCCGGGCACGCATGCCGTCACCGATCAGGCGAGGGGTCACAGCATTAGCGAGAATGAACTCTTCGCACATTTTTGCACCTCCTGACGCAACCCCTTAGCGAGGCTACTACTACTACTAACTACGCAAATTTCATCGTTGGGAAGGTGACTGCGGTGCAGGCGGGACGGAGGAGCCACAACCATCTCTCCCTCCCCCCTCCCTTGCTCCAGCCCCGGACCTTTGTAGACCGTGCGCGCCACAGTCACCTCCGCGTCGTTACAGCCCTAGCAGCTCGTGGCAACGCGGACACCGAGAGAGAGAGCGAGAGAGAGGGGCTCTGCACTGGCCCGACGCGCTTTAAGCGGACGGCGCGGGTTCGCGACGTCACCGATGCACCTCCACGTCGTCCGCTTGTGCTTCCGGGCAGTGGTTCGATTGATTATAGGGGGAGACCCACGAACTCGATGGGGCGGGGGATGCACAGCAGATTCTGTGCGTGGTTCAGAGCGATCGTATTATGAGAAAAAAGCCAAAGGACGACTGCTCGTTCCCAAACAAACCGCATTACTTTATTAAATTCACACCTGGCCATTAAAAATAACAGTAATAATATTATTGTATCCCAACAGAACCTTTTTGACCACATTTCTTAGAATTAAATACACCCGTTTGTACATTTGTGCCCTGAAACTAAATGATCAGTAACTAGACCGTTTCTCGCTTAACTGGGTTTGAATGGCTTAAGATTATAGGGTTGACAGCTAATGATATTTTTGCTTTTATATGTACACACACACACAAGAATGGTTCCCAATACGATAAGCTGAGTTCCACCTAAAAAAATGTAACCACTGGCTCTCTGTAAGGTTGATGGACAAATCCGTTTGTGTTGAACACCAAGGGCACGAGACACAATTGGAGAATGATTATATGCTTGCAACGACACAACCGCAGGCTACGTAACTCGCAGGGGGGGAGTGGGAGGGGGGTCCATTCGTTCGGCCAATTTAATTGAACGAAGTTGAAAAATGTATTGCTCGCTAATGTATTTAAATGCCCGCCCCCCCCCCCCCCCCCCCAAAAAAAAATACGTGGGAATCCGAAGATTGAATAATCTTACGCTGGGAATCTCAACTGTTGGGACACACGGGGAACGTGTCCATCGACCAACACTCCGTACACGGCGATTTGACGTTTCGACGTTTCGCGTTTCGTTGTCACGTTCACGTAACGAGCAACGCCAACGCCACGCACCACCCGGCGAGGCGTTTGAAGATCCAGCGCGACAATCAAGCCAACCCGCCCAACTCCTAGGCGGAATTACACTCGCAACTATCTGTCACTTTTGAAAGACCAACTCTTGCGAGTAACCAAGGAAAACAAGAACATGAAAACCAACACGCTCGACTCAAACGAGCTCAACCAAGACGATGGCGCTTTCACCTCCTGACAACGTCAACAGCAATTTGTATCCAGCGGTGGATTAAAAACGTGACGTCTAACACTATTTGCGCTTCAATTGCGCACGATTGAAAAGTATGTAGCGACGTAGAGCTCCGGATTTGCAGATTGTTTCTGAAGAATAGGGAATTCTTCAAACAAAAATGAAAGCGCAGCTTTGCTTGGCTACAATGTCACCACATGCACACTGCATGGGAAAGGTTGGGAGACGCAAACAGCATTTCCGTTACAAATCTCCATTCTCAGTTTCAAGGGCAAATAAACAAATAAAAATAAAAAAAAGTATTTCGGATGAAGTCAATTAATTGTGTCGTCAAGAGCGTGACACTTTTAACAATCAGTCCACGAGATAAACACAGAGACAGAGCTTGAGTTAAGAACACGACTCCGCCGGCTAGATACCTGCAAACCGCTCACAGTTATCGAAACAAGACGCCCATCCAAGAATTGTCTTGGATCTACGGTCTGAGTGCTGATGGGAATGTGCGCTGTGATATGAAGGGGGGGCTATGTGGAGATGCTCAAAGACTATCGCAGTACAACAACAAAAAAACCAGGAGCTCGCAAAAATAAGAGAGGCTCGGAAGAGAAAGGAACCCAGGAGATGAGAGAGAGAGAGAGAGGTGACAACTCTGAGCGACAGTGTTGCAAGACTTCGAGCAAGCAAGTTAAAGTTAGACGGACACAGTGAGAGCGCGATAGCAGAAAACGAGAGGAGCAACAGACAGCGGCAGTGGAAAGAGGAAGGAAGAGACCGCAGTAGACAACGAAAGAGTCAGAAAAAGGAGAACAAACGCACGCACATCGCTGGCGTGTATCGACGCAACAAACGCGTGGCGTAGGATCGTTGACTGGTCTGGGCGAGCGAGCTGGCTGGCTGGCTGGCGTTCTACCTGTCCTTGACATCGCGCGCCACGCGCTTGGTGATGCGGCCGCACAGCAGGCCGAAGGCAAAGAGCACGCAGATGGTGGCGAGGATGACGATCAGGAAGTACGTGCGCGACGGGGAGTCGTAGACCGTCTTGGCAAGCTCCCCCAAGCTGTCGGGAGGCACCACCTGGCGGCCCGCGGCAGGAGACACAACAACAACAACAACAATCGCTCAGGCGGCCGTCGCTTCCTCTGGAAAGGTATTTTGGTCTACTCTTCCACGCTGGTCAGAAGTCTTGGATGAGCTGGGGGTACTCGTACTTTACCCCAACCGCTGATCGACCAACGAGGTGTACCCGATGATACCGTCGATCCCCAGGCGGGGTTGAATGCAGAAACTTTGTCCATTGGTTCAAGCGTCGGGCCGGGAGGCTGAATCGGTGACCTCTGGACCAATGTGCTGGCCATGACGACATCATGGCGAGAGACATCCGTAATTAGCGTTTGTATTGGCCGTCACAGGCAATGCTTACCTTGGCTGCATACTCCCACATCTCCTTGCGGTCGACCAGCCGCTTCTTGCACTCGGGCTGCAGACGGACTGTCTTGTCATCCAGTGATTCGAGTAAACATGACATCTCTACAAAGACAAAGACAACCCGCATAGCCTTAACAGACTGTAGGGACAAGTGCACCTATGAAGGCCGGCATGGCTGGCGAGGTGAATGGTGGCCAGCACCATGCCCTTCCGCCTTGATCTCTCCAGTGCCGATGTTAATTTCACACATCGCACCAGGTACTCATTTGAGGTGGAGTAGACCTAGGGGAGGCCCAGGACCAATTCCGATATTCGTCACTGGTGTTGGTGGCCGTGAGTGGGAATCGAACTCGGATCACCGGGTTTGTAGGGAAGCGTACTAACGCACCCACCAACCCTCGCCACCCACCCACCAACCCACCAACCCTCGCCACCCACCCACCAACCCACCAACACTCGCCACCCACCAATCTTCGCAGCCCCTCGGCATAAGAGACAGGTGGAGAAAAAGGCGTCACAACAACGACACCAAAAGCCAAATTGGAGTGAAACAGTAAATCAAAAGGACAGTCGGTCACAGGGTCAGTGTCCCGTAGGGCACCGCAAGTGCACGGTCCTGTCCGGGGTCCGGCTCGGGGGGGGGGGGAGGGGTAGGAACTTACGCTTGCCCTCCCCGGGCGCCACGCCCCCGCAGTAGTGCTTGAGGTCGAGCGAGCAGGCCGTGTGCAGCACGGGGTCGACGAACACGTCCGCCTTGCTCTCCTGCAGGATGTTGAAGACCTCCTGCGCGTCACAGCGGGGCGCAGCTTGTCAGCAACGTACGATTAATAATAATAATACCGAAGTACATTTGGTATTCGCGACATTCTTATGGCGCAAGGCTATCACGAAGGCGTCGTTTTACAGATCTGCGGTAGTCTCTCAGTAGGGGGCGACGTTGCTGTGCGTAATCCCAATCGATTTTTTGTTTTCTTCAGAATACGACAACTTTTGACCGCAACATCGGCACACAATCGCCCACGCGTGTTGAACGACATCGGGTGGTGTGTACTCTACGGCTAAAACCCGCACCGCAGCAATTGGCAGGATAGCAGCGAGCAGATGGAGCCCAACCCACCGCCTGGGCGGTGTGCGGAACGCATGGTGCCGGTTGTTGGCGTGCAACGCGGGAGGTCAACGCGGGAGGTCAACGCGGGAGGTCAACGCGGGAGGTCAACGCGGGAGGTCAACGCGGGAGGTCAACGCGGCCGGTGCACGGCCGGGTAGGGTCTGGCGGGTGTGGCAACGTGGGAACCGGCGCCGTACCGTGCGGCAGCCTTCGCTCTTGATCTTGGGCAGGTTGATCTTGAGGCACTCCTCCACCTGCCCCGCCTGCTCCTGCGCCGCAGCCTCGTCGGCGCACAGCTTCGAAATCTGGGACACAGAGTCACGAGCACGGCTCGCTGAGCGCCGCCCTCCGTCTCTCTACTGCTGGATGAAGGCCCCCCCCCCCAACCCCCCCACCCTCCACCTCCTCCCCCCGCACCGTTGTCAATCATGGACGCCGTTTCACCGTAACTGGCACGTGCGCGTTTGTGACGAGGGAAGTCCAGGAGCACCTCAGACGTCGCTCGCCTCTAGTTTTAACCACGGCTGGGAATCGAACTCCAGTGACTGGAGTGCAGCACGCTAATTAACACGGTGCCACTGATATAGAAATGTATGTCCTCGATACACGTGGGTGTGTGTGCGTGCGTGCCAGTGTCAAGCCGAAACTCACGTCGTCGCCGCAGTGCATTTGCAACTGAGGGTCCAGGCGGTAGTCCATAGCAGACTCCTGGATGGCAAGGCGGATCTGGTCCTCACAGTCCATGGACATACGCTGTGCAACACAAAAACAAAACAAAGATCCCCCGGTAAAGTCGTAACAGACTGTAAGAGCAAACGCTGTTAGCGAGTAGCACCTATGAAGGCCGGAACGCCACACGAGGGGGTGAGTGGCCAGCACTACGGCCGGTAGCCTTTGTCTCCCCAGTGGCGATGTTTACACACCGCACCAGGTACTCGTTTGAGGCCGAGTCGCTCTAGGGGGAGGCCCAGGACCAATTCAGATAATCGTCACTTGTGTTGGCCGTGAGCGGGAATCAAACTCTGGACCCCGGGTTCGTAGCGCAGCGCGTTAACCGCTACACCACTGCTCCACACGCAAACGCACACCACACCACCTACGTTAGGGCACCCTCACTATTCATTAAAGCCAAGCGTGCACAAAGCTATCTATATGACACATGTGAAACACGCTCGCTTCAATTTACACTTAGTCGTCTATCTGCTAATGAGCCAGGCAAAGGCGCCCTGAGGGTTCCGAAGGGTTGATGGGTAATTACTGCTGGAGCCTCACGGTGCAACACGAAGGGCACTGTGGGGGCCCGCCACTTAGTGCAAATGTAAAACCTGACACCGTCATTAGCAGGCCCACTCCTGCTCCAGATTGCGGATAGTGAATGCGCGTCCCGTGGATACGATTAGCTTCATCACGCTCGCAGAGATATTAAAGTCTCATTTTAAACAACATCGCCATCATCATTGATCGACCGTTGTATTACATTGACAAATCAAGCACAAGTCGCAGAAGCCAACACTGCCTTTACACATCGTAAGCTATGCAAACACAGTTTGTCATCAACAGTCAAAGTGGATCTCTGGTGAAACAAACCGGGGACAGCGCTCAAACCTCCACGCGTTGCCAACGTTATGGTTGCAGTAACATCACCATTACGGCAACCGCTAGGTAACGTTGATGACGATGAGGGTTATTTATTCGTAGGGTTGAAGCTACCGAAGCGTACGAGCGCGCGTACAAGCGTACATTCACCGCTTGGTCAAGCAATTAATTAAACCCCCCGGCTGGCCCAACCTGTTTGCCGTATTTGAGCTTGAGGCACGAGATGACCTTTCCTTCCAACTCCTCGTCGTTCTTCTCCTGCTCCAGCACAGCCTTGCAGAACTTGGGGATGTCTCCTTTGCACGACTTCTTGAGGATGGGGTTCAGCCGATAGTCTGGGGGAATGAAAAGAAAACGTCTTTGTGCGAAATGGACGGGGTTGTTTTTCTCTGGCGAGTAGCGGAACGGATTTACTCCTGAAAGTGTCCACCGACTCGCTCGCTCACTCACCAACCTCCACATGAAGTAGAAACATTGCTGTTTATACAGCGGACTCTCGGTTAACAATGTTAATTGGTTCCCGAAAACCATCGTTGATCGAAATTATCGTTAATAGAGTTTAGGAAATACATGTTAATGGCTAGCATATCAAATACTGAAAAGCTAGCAGCCAGTTTGCTCTCAAAACGCTGATTGGCCGAGGTCAGCCGAGTTCACTTAGAAGCGCTCCGATTGGCCAAAATTGGCGGCCGTGCGAAATCGTAAACATATTGTTAATCGAAAATGTATCGTCAATAGAAACAATGGGACCCTGTGGGAGGCGGATCGTTACTCGATGATATCGTAAACCGAGGGACCACTGTATCTCCGTGTCAGAACAAAAATAAATAAAGAGCTAAAAAGCGATGAAGGAATCTAATCGTGACGTTGACATCGGTGATGTCATCGCATTGTCGCCGGGCAAGGGGATGAGTGCCCCGACGCCCACTATCGAGCGGACCCCCCTCACCACCTCCAGCCCCCAACCCCCACCTGAGTACTGCACGATCTGCCGCTTGGTGATCATCTGCTTGCACTTGGGGTCCATGACCTCGCTGTGCTTGTTCTGCTTCAGGCACTGCATGATGTCGCGAGGGTCCGACTCGGAGCAGAAGCGCTGTGGAGGCAAAGCAAAGTTGGACATCCAAACTCCCCCCCCCCCCCAGCGTCACGACACACACTTCACGATTCTTCCGCTCACGACACACGCGTCAAGTTCTGCGCGCGCGAGAGAATGCGTTATTTTTAATCCGTATACGACATACGAGATCGGTTCACGCAAATCGCCCTCGTTTATGTAGCGCCTCAGACCAGCGCTACAGGACAAAGTGAAACCACACCACACACACGAATCTGAACCCAGACTTCACTCTGATCGGTGCCGATCAGGCACCCTTATTTCACAAGGCACTGGTCCAGCCACTTATACCCCCTTTTCCACTGGCACATCCGAGCAGAGCCAGCACGGGGTCCCTCGTGCTGCGTCCGGGTGGTTACCGCTGGCTCTTCGCTGTGCTGAGCCAGACCCAAACCGCGATACGCGGGCCTCACAAGACATCCGAATCTGGTTTGAAGGCAAGCAGGGCCAGGGGGCGGGGCTGACGCCACATCCGTTGGGCGCGACGTCGGACAGGACGCGGCTTGGCACGGCCCTGGCGCGGATGTGTTGTGCAGTGGAAAAGGCACTGGACCTTCCATACCTTGATCATCTGCTTGCAAACCCGCATGAGCGTGTAGTCCATCTCGGGATCAGACATCTCCTGCTCCTCACGCTTGAAGATCTTCTCGTGGCACTTGGGGCTGAGGTTTTTCCGCTTGTCCTTCAGGCACTCGAGCACCTGGGAGTGGTGAAGGGTGGGGGGGTGGGCACAGGCCAGCGTAAGGCAGTCAGGGCGCCACTGTGGTTGGATGCTAACTACCTCGCCTGGTGTACAAGGAGGTCGTGGGTTCGATCCCGACCCTGACGCCTGCTGCTGTATATTTGGAGTTTGCGTGTCTCTCTCTCTCTCTCATCATCATCACGGTGGCTAGGAGATGTTAACTACCTCGCCTGGTGTACATGAGGTCGTGGGTTCGATCCCAACCCTGACGCCTGCTGCTGTATATTTGGAGTTTGCGTGTCTCTCTCTCTCTCATCATCATCATCACGGTGGCTAGGAGATGTTAACTACCTCGCCTGGTGTACATGAGGTCGTGGGTTCGATCCCAACCCTGACGCCTGCTGCTGTATATTTGGAGTTTGCGTGTCTCTCTCCCTGTGGCAACGTGGATTTTTATCCAGTTCTCCAGGTTTTCCCTCCACATTTTGAGTATTTGGCTGCTAGAAATTTCACATGAGTCACTTCGTTGAGCAATAATTTGTGGTCAGGTCCCTTAAAACAAGCAATACAGCTCAGTGGGCTTCACCTGGTAAAATGTAATTTTTAGATAGTCAAGTCGGATATGGGGTGATTTGTAATTAAAAACGCAGCGGCATCGCCACCTAAAATTCCAGCATGAGCGACGCAGCGAAAACTCGGAGCGCGATTCGCCCCCCGCTATGACAGCCGTCCGCTCCTAACAGTTTCTTCCTAAAACAGTGTTTGGCAGGCAATAATACAAACATTCAAGGTTATCTTTAAAAGCTGTTTCTCACTCTGCCCCTGCGAACTCGTCCCGCCCTGCCTTGCTCTGCCCGTACCTGAGCATTCCCAAAGGAGGCCTCTTTGCAGAACTTCTTGATGTCAGGCTCACAAGTTTCACTCAGTTCCGGGTCGAGCCGCAGGTCCTCCGTCTGTGAGGGCAAGCAGGCAGAGATGACGCGCGTTTACAACGCTAACACCTCAACGGTAGCTCATTGACAACGCTAACACCTCAACGGTAGCTCATTGACAACGCTAACACCTCAACGGTAGCTCATTGACAACGCTAACACCTCAACGGTAGCTCATTGACAACGCTAACACCTCAACGGTAGCTCATTGACAACGCTAACACGGTAGCTCATTGACAACGCTAACACGGTAGCTCATTGACAACGCTAACACCTCAACGGTAGCGCGCGTGCCAAGTTGGCACACGGAGTAAACACAGCGGGGGCCCTGTAACCGCTCACTCGCGCAAGGGCCTTCCGCCACCAGACGCCTTGGAATATTTGGGTGTACCCACGCTCAGGGGCGGAGCCAGGGGGGTGACAGGGGGGGTGACATTCTGCGTATAAGTGTACGACACTCGGTCTGGCGGACTCCGTGCAACTGCATTGTCAGAGTGTGTCGCCAACCGATGGCGTCTAGTTCAACAGCCCGACTCTCTAATCATTCTTGAAATTAAAATTTGTTGAATGTCACCCCGGCCTGAAATCCTGGCTCCGCCCCTGCCCACGCTTAACCCCACCAAACGCGACCTTGCCGATCCGACACATCGTGCTGTACCCATTTGTACCCCTGGGGGGCGGGGGTGAATTTCAAGTCAAAAGTCTGAGTGTCTCCGCGTGTAAACATCTTCTCTCGCGACCCAGGGGTAGCGGTGAAAATGCCGCATTCCCTGCAGCCGGGGCCGGTCTCTCTGAACAACACGCACGGCCACCCTCCAGATCCATCAACTCAAACGGTCGCGAGCGTGCGGTGCACCGCGGAATCGCGCCATCGGGGCATCACGGCAGGACCGACCCTCGCGGTCACAGCGGCCACGTTCGCCGTCCGGACATTCGTAGACGCAGGACGGCGGCGTCGCCGACTCCTGTGCGGACCCCCGCTGGGACGAGGGAGGGGCAGCGGCTCCACCACCGCGGGGGGAAAACAAAACTCTCACACTCTCCCGGCGTCGGGGTCATCGTCATCGTCGTCGTCATCGTCGTCGGGGTCGTCATCGTTTGTGATTCACGTCGCGCCTCCCACGCAGCGCACGTGGAGGCGCCACCGTCTCACCATCTCGAGCTCCTCGACGCGCAGTTGCTTGCGGCACTTGACGGACACACGCTGGTCCTTGCTCTCCAGCAGCGTGTCGTTGCGCACCATGCTGCTCAGGCAAAACACCACGTCCGACCTGGAACACAACAACCATCGCCGTGAGCGGACGCAGACTGGACCCCGCCAGAGTAATGTGGAGGTTTTACTCTCTCGTCTCAGAATCGCCGTGGCAGACAAGCACCGCCCCCACGCCCGCCTGCCTTCGTCTCTCGGGTGCCGATGTTTACACACTGCACCACAAGGTACCGAGTCGACCTAGGGGAGGCTCAGGACCGGTCCAAATTATCGTCACAGATGTTGGCCGTGAGCGGAAATCAAACTCGGGTCGCTGTGTTCGTAGCGCAGCGCGCTAACTGCTGCACCACCGCTCCCCGCTCAAGCACACGCACACGTGTTGCATTTGGCCTCACTTTCTCCGTATGTTCGGACACAGCTTGAGAACGTCTTCCTTGCAGGCCGTCTTGAACTTGAACGAAAATCGGAAATCCTTCATCTGGATCTGCAGAGCGGTTGACACAAGCGGCACACACACAGCTGAGCACAAGGCGTCCGGTGCTGGTCGTCAGTAAAATACTCAACTCCCGCTGTGTGGGTTATTAAAAAAATAATACTAAAAACCCATACCAGCTGGAAATGCGTAATGCCGATGTAGCACTTTTCGTTGATTTCTTTTTGATGCTTGTTCTCCACCAAGCATTCCATCAGGTCGTCCGTTTCACCCTTGTCATCCGCAACGGTCTGCAGGAAGCCGAGAATGAAGGCGCCTCAATTAAAAGCCACGGCAACAACTAACGCGGGAAATAGGAATTCTCCCGTACGGCATTTTAAACTCGGGGAATTGGTGGCCACGCACGTGGCCTGTAATCCAGCACTGTGGAGACAGCGAGCGTTGGGTTGGTGGATCGTGCAAGTGTGGTATCATTCCCTTCACCCGTGGGCGTCAAGGAGGAGCCATACCCTGGCTTGCCAGTAGAAGGCAGTCCAGCAACGTGCGAGCTAATATCATCCATCGCTTCTGTATGGGATGGAGTGGTGTCCTCTCGCACGTGCGTTATATATAGGACTGCAGAGCTAGGGAAATTGCTTGCACTGGCTTACTGCCTGGCTGCCTTCCCAGCATTGTGTGGTTCGTCAGCTATTTTGTAAGTTTACATGCATGGCGCTACATAAAACTATAACGTTATTTTTTTCAATCCCAACAGCAAAAATGCAATAAAAAATAAACAAAACCTCAAGAAGAGCAATTATATTTCATTAAACGTTTATGTTTTTGACTATGCAATGGTTTATAAATTTAGTACATCAGCATGTCCATCGACCTCCATGCATTGACATCGAAAGAGTAGTTCGCAGCAATTTTAACGGAAAGTAGCAGCCTTGACAAACATCCCCAGATGTAAGCGTCTGTCATCAGGTGGAACAACCACAGCAAGAAACAACTATAGTTGTAAGAAACAACTGTAGTTGTTTCTTGCTGTGGTTGTTCCACCTGATGGACGCTTGGTGTTGCGCCCGAAACGTTGTGATTTAATTTATTTTATTTTATATCTACGTGACTTTACCGAAAGAACAAAAGAATATGGATACCTGCAGTCACGAAAACTTCAAATCTAGATTCATCTCCAGATGGTGAACTGGGCTAAAACCTGTTCAAGATCTCAATAAAGGCCACTGCATTTAAAACAAGGCCACAAATAACATGGGAACTTTGCCAACAGCCCAACTAGCCGCTCATACATAGTGGTGCAATTAAGTGACGAACAACGAAGACTTGTACGGTACCCACCACAACTAAAAACTACAGGGTGACAAGTAGTTTAAAGACTGTGCTGCATCATGGAAATCAGATGCGGCGTACAAACACCAGCACTGGGGAGACAAAGGCGGTTGGGGGCGTAGTGCTGGCCACAACACCCCCTCGGTTGCTGCGTCGCCCTTCATGGCTGCTCGCTGACAGAACGTGGCCCGACAGCCTGTTAAACACTGCACACGATGGTGGCGTGGCGGGGACGCGTGCGTGCGTGCGTGCGTGCGCGTGCACTCACGTGGCAGTACGCCTGAATGATGGGCTCGCACGCCCTCATGAGCAGCGCTTCAATCTCAATGTCCTGCAGCAGCAGCAGCAACAATAAAACAAAGTGTCTGAACCGTACAACAGTGATGTAACAATTCATCCGACCGATGCTCGATGCAATGGCACGATGCCGCGACTCGTGATTTAATTCACCAATCAATATTTTTCTTCCTGTCCTTGCGGCGAAAGCAGAATCCATCGTGGTATATTTTCCCAAAGTGGCATACGCTTACAAATCCGAAATAATACATTCTAATTTGCATTATTCAGCACGTGCACCGCGAGTGTAACGATCAATGTTAATCCACGAGCCGTTACGTCGTTACTACTCGATAATGAAGCCGCGAACCTTGCGCAAAAATTCAATGAGAATCGCCACATTTTAGAAAAAAAATGACACCACCACATGCTTCCTTAAGAGGCCACACGTATATAGGTGCTTATTTGCAACACCGTTGTACAACGGATAAGCGTTTTATGGACAGTTCAACCAGGAATGAGCCGATGTCTTTACAATCCCCGATTCTGTCTCATGAAACATGTGGGGTTGATGTCTCACACAGTGAGCAAGGCATCGTCCTGGAGGACAAAGGCATTTCACTCCTGCTCTCACGCCATAACAGAAGGCTCTCGTCTTTATGCCCTGTAACGCGATTGTCAGTTTTGAAGTCACAAAAATAATTCGCCAACATGGGTGAAAAATATGCGGCATTAACAGAAAACCCGCAACTTTCAGCGTTGCCTTTTTGGTGGCGCTTGTTGACCAGACCGAGACCAAGAACTGTTCTACTCTTGTGCATGATGGCAGCGATACGTCCAGGAGCCAGATGCCAATGTCGAGGCTTGTTAGCCAGGACAAGGTGAGAGAGTTTGTGCAGTTTTATATTCCTCCTCCGTTGAAGGAGCGCTCTCGCTTCAGTGGTTTACTACTATATGGGCCCATTGTGTGGGTTGTACGGACACACTGGCACGATAGCGGCCCGTGTAAGTTTCCACGGGTGAAGGAGACGCGAGCGTGAACAACGTGGCGATTAACCCGCACTCACCAACGGTGGTCGACGCTCAGACTCGGGCTTGAACCCAGGAACTTAAAAGTCAACAAAGAGAGCTCAGTGCTCCAACAGTGAACACCTACCCGACCCCCAACCCCGCACCCCCCTTACCCCGAGTCACCTGACCGCTTAGGTTGATCAAAGCCAGCTTTCTCCCGGCACCCAGTGAAACGTGTAGGACTTTCGCTCAACTCAAAGGTGTTTTCTCAACGCGGAAAGGTCAGGGGAATTCTCACCCGTGGGTACGTTGGGACGATGGCTGCGGTGGTCACAGCGAGAGCAGCTCTCGCTTTGCTGCCGGTGTTAGAAACGGCGGGACGAGGAGAGGAGGAGGCGGGAGAGGGGGGGGAATGTAACACACCTCGGACTCCATCTCCGTGAGGTTGGTCACAATGTCCTTGCACGGCTTCAGCAGCTCGTCCAGCTTGTCCTGCAGGCATTCCAGCTCCTGCACAGCACGAGGACAAAGGTGAAGATCCCTCAGGTAACCAGTTCAGATATTCATCACCGATGTTGGCTGTGAGTGGGAATGGAAATTCAGGTCGTCGGATCCGTTGTGTAGTGCGCTCGCAACTATACTACCGCTCCCCATGCATACAAAGACACAGACACACACCCCATCAACGCCTCGATCACTCATCCACTCATCCATACATAGCAGGGTAAGCCATGCAGCACGCTTGGGATATCAACTCAACTAATTGAATGTACCTTCAATCAGTCGCCCTTGATTAGGTCACTGTGCGATAATTAATTTAAAATCGGCAAATCCATTAGTTAGGTCAAATCCATGTGGATGACGTAGGCTGAGCAGCGCGAGCTTGACTCACCGAGTGGAGCTAGTGGGGGGTACTGGGGGACGTGGACGTCTCTAATAATACTGTGGGTTTGCGTCCAAGCGTCTGTAGTCCACTGTAGGCCTTCCCAGAATGCTCTTCGTTGGACTACTCGACACAGTACGAGGCAAAGGCGCAGCCCTGAAATTGCTTATTGGTGCCACTGCTGGCGGAGGCCTCCACCGGAGGCGTCGACTCTTCTACGCTGGCGAGACATCTCCGAAGATGTGCCAGTGACCCACACGTTACCCAACCACACCCGACAGACTAGCTGCGGTATTCACGTATATACGACTGGGTGGACAGAGGCGGGAGGATGTCAACTGCCACACCGGGAGATCATATCGGATGGGTAACTTTTGGAATCCACATCCAGTGCGCTCATCACTACAGCCACAGCAGCATACTTGACAAAGTATATTGAATCATTTCAGGGTACAGGTACAGGTGTACCCTCAAATACGTTAATTCGAATTACGACGATTCATCATACGGTTCGTCATCAATGAACCCTTTTCATTTGGCCTGCGTCTCGTTTGTTTGACGGCCCCACAGAGGGAGGCAGGCGCTGCCGCTGCCCCTTCCACACAGCGGTGTGACGGTCCGCACGCTGGACTGAGTCGTCGATACGATTCGATCACCAGTTGAGAACAAAGGTGCACCTTTCTTAAGCTTCCCTGCCTAGGTCCACCCAGAAGTTAGCGGGATGGCAGGTCGCGTGGGGTAAAGTGTGGATGCTCCCACCCCTTCCAACATGTCTGGCCAGCAACAGCCTCTAGCAGGTCTCTCTAGAGAGGTGCCTCGAGTGGAGGCCGTTCTGCCGGCAGTCCCGTGAGCGAGCTATTGCGGGGCCGCACCTTTACCACTCTTGGCCAAATCGGCCAACGCGCTCGGCTGGCCACGAGCCTGAGCTAACGCGTGCCACGCTCTCTTTCACTCGCGCACCTTGCCCGGCTTCTCAGAGCACCACTTGCCCAGGTCGGCCAGGCAGCTCTCCTGCAGCTCGGGGTTCAGGTGCACGTCCAGGGCACGCTGCTGCAGGATGCGGCGCACCTCGTGCTTACAGTCGCGGGACAACTGCGGGGGAGGGAGCACACACGCCAGCGAACGCCGGAGCGTCAATCGCCGGCAGGAGGGAGCACACACGCCAGCGCACGCCGGAGCGTCAATCGCCGGCAGGAGGGAGCACACACGCCAGCGCACGCCGGTGCGTCAATCGTCGGCAGCAGCCACGTCCTGCCGGCCCTCGCCAACGCGGTTGCCCCTCCCCCCCACGGCCCCCGCGTGGTGCCACAATCCATCCTGCTCACGCGCTGCTTCAGCCCAAGCCGACCGCCCCGTCGCCGTGACGGCGATGCGGTGTGGCGAGCGAGCGAAGGGTGACGTACGAGACGGTGTGGGGGTGGCAAAGAGCGCGCGTCAGCGAGCAAGTGCGATGCGTGAGCAGGTGCCGGTGTGTTAGCGAGCGGGCGTTGTACGAGCTGGAGTAGTGTAAGAGTAAGTGTGGTGTGCGAGTAACTGAAGTAGCGTTTGTGTGAGCGGGCGTGGTGTATCAACACGCAAAGCTTTGCATGAGCTAGTGTGCTTCATTAGTAAGTTGGCCGTGTGGTGTGTGTGTGGGTGCGGTGTGTGTAGGTGCGAGTGTGTGTGCGAGCGTATGTGCAGTGTGCGAGTAGGTGCGGTGTGTGCGCGTGTGTAAGTGCGGTGTGTGTGTGTAGGTGTGTAGGTGGTGCGTGCGTGCCAGTGCATGCTCCACCACACACCCGGCGGCCCTGAGACTCGGTGCGGTGCGCGTGCCGGTAGAGGCAGGAGAACACGGCCCCGGGCGGCAGGGTCTCGGAGGTGTCGTTCCAGCCCACCGTGTGGCAAAGACGCGCCGCGTCGCCCTGGCAGTGCCGGTACAGGATGGGGTCCAGCCTGCGACGCGCGCCCGGCACCAACGGTCAGCGTGAGCGGTGGACCGACCGACGGGCAAGCAGACCACCGTACCGACCGGCCAGCCACTTAGGCAGCGACAGCCAGATTCCGCTGTGTTTCCGGGTTGTGCCGCGTGTTGTTCGGTACGATGTCCGGGGTTTCTTCCACGCGCTGGGGGAGAAGCTCCCATCGTGCCGAACAACAATCGGCACCACCAGTTAACAAACAAATCTGGACAGAGCAAACTGCAGCAACGTACGCAATGTGCCGACGTTGCGATTATCAACAGAGGGGCACAGCACCAATTCGATGCGTTTGGGCCGTGTCGGGAATCTGACCCCAATCAAACTGCAGATGCGGCAACAGTGGTTAGAGAGGTTGTCAAGAGCCCAATGAGAAACCTTGCGCGTCTATGACGTCGTGATGGGACAGGAGAGCAGTTGGTAGTCGAGAGGCTCGTGAGAGGGTAGCGGGCGGCATTGCCGACTGCGTATTTAGATCTCTAGCCAGGGCAGCAGCTCCCGGGGCATCCACGGGGAGGAGGGGCTGGGGCCCTTAAACGAGTCCCATAGGAGACTCGGTGGGCCGGGGGTCCATTCGCCAACGAGTCCCAGGCATGGACACCGCACCCTGCGAAGCTCAGCGAGGACAGTCAGGAGGTTGGGCACGGGAGTTGTGGTTCAACCGACGCACAGCCGTGAGAGGGCATTGCGATCGCCTTACTTCCAGTCTCTGGAGATGAAGTACTGCAGCTCCAGGAGTTTCTGCTCACAGTCCTCCACCATGTGGTCGGTGTACAGGTGCTCCATCAGGCAGGAGAGGATCCTGTGCAAGCGAAGCAGAGAGGGGCACCATTCGCATTGCTGGCGAGACCAGCTCGACTTCCTTTAGAATGCGTTTAGGGCTGTTTAAAACGACCGCTTCCCAAAAATCACACCATTATCAATGAAGACGGTCGAGAAATCAGTGTCTTCCTCGGACGCGCAATGGGACAGTGCCAATCTGTCTTCACAGGCAGAGCCAGGACAGCAAATTCCCCTTTCTCATGCTGGTGGCTAAATTCTGACAAACAACAACTGCCGACTTTGACACAAAGTGGTACTCATTTCATGGTCGGCTACGTACGGTGCAAAAAAGTTCAACAACATACTTCAATATACCCACAGCAACTTTAAAGATTACTCTTATCACCACCACTCATCTACCACCACCATCTACACCTACACCACCCATATACATCACAACATGACATCACCACCACTCAAAACCATAACCAACCAACACAACCACCACACTCCAAACCGTGACCACTCAACAACCACAACCAGGAGCCCAATGCCACACCACCACCAGGCCCGACTGGCGAGCAGGGCCACGAGGTATTAAGCACAACGACGAGGGAGACCATCGCTGGCATGAGCAACTCGCGTGGGGGCGCCAGGGACAAGGCAAGCGGCTCACATGGGGTCCCCGTTGCGGATGTGTTTGCACGCCGTCTGGATGACGGACTCGCACGCCTCGTTGAGCGCCCGGTCGATGCGGTAGTCCGCTCCGGGGTTTGCCTCCTGAACCAGCTCCTGGAGCTGTTGGTGCACACGGTGGGGGGGGGGACAGTGATTTTGCGGGGAAGGCAGCGGCATCGAGCATCCCGGCGTGGTCAGGACGGGCGGCGGCTTGACTCGCAACGTACGAGACACGAACTTGACGGACAATCCATGGAAACAAAACACGAGTGGTGGGGGTGCCAACCACGAGTGGACACAGACGAGGATTTGAACTTACTCCAAGGTATTTACAGCTGTCCCAGAGACGTAGAATACGAGCTTCCAACGCGGCTTCACTATATTTCACGACAAACAATTTGCTTGCTTTTGAAAAAGCCAGCTTTTAATATTTTGACAGTATTGCGGACGAGCGACACTCGTTTTGGTATTGCCTAGTATGGATATCGAGGCCTCCAAAGACGGATCTCAGAAGTAGATCTTTGATATATATTTTTTCAGGTCCGCACTCAAGGTACGAGTACCAAATGGAGAATTCTTCACATCATGACAATGTCAAATAACGACGTTGGCATATAATTTGGAAACGGGAAATAATATTGCCTTAAAATAATGGGAGGTGGGGTGGGGGGGACCTACAGTAGGGGGGGACCTACAGTAGGGGGAAGCTCGGCCACCCTCGCATCAAGGCGACGCTCCGGGGCTTCTTTGGGGAGAAGTGCAGCAAGGCTGAACTGGCGTCCGCCCGCAAAGCGGCTTGGGGGGGCGGCTGCCAACCGCACCCCCGTGGTACCGCAACGGCGATGCTGAAGGCAGCGCGAGCGAGGAAGGCGGACGGAGGAGGGCGAGGGAGGGAGGGAGGGAAGGCGGGCGTCACAGGGCCTGCGGTGACACTCACGGCGGTCTGGCAGCTCTGGCCGAGCGGCGCCTTGCCGTCCTCCCCGCGCACGGCGCGCATCAGGCAGTGCAGCGTGCGGCCCTTGCGGTGCAGGCCCGAGCAGCGGCTGTCGATCTCGCCGCGGCAGCTGAGCATGATCTCGGGGCTCAGCGAGAAGTCCTCCATGAGCATCCTCCGGAAGTCGAGCATCTCGGCCTGGCAGTCGCTGCTCACCTGCCGCCCTGCGCCGATGGTCGGTCGCGGCAAAAGGGACGGAGACAACGGCAGCAATGAATATATTACGTAATTAATACAACGATAAGGGTCTCACATCACAGGCCTTGTCAACCATTCTATTGTCCTGCTGCTGTGTAGCCATGGGGAATCCATGGCGACAGCTGTCCCTGTACGGCGTGAAGGGAACGCAGCACATGCCTGCAAGAGGGCGTCAGCACACCAATAAAGGGTGATGTTGCTACGCGGCATTTCACCGACTAAGTAATGAACTAGTTCGGCAAATTTGGACCGTGGCGCTGGCACGAAGGGTCTACTCTATTTATAGTTAACACACTCGCAATGTTGACCAGGGTGGCCACTGAACTTAAACAAAGAATCTTTGTGACAAGTGAAAAATGCTCTGCTGCTCCGCCATGACACTTAATCCACTTTAATGGCAAGGGGTCACGCGCTGCGGTCAGTTGCCAGCTGCCTGAAGCGGATGAAGATCCCCGTAGACTCAACAGACTTAAATATAAATATTCAGATTCTGTTTGTAAGTACCGATGAAAGCCCAGGAGAGAAGGGGGTGGCTGGCCAGCACTAAACCCAACTGCCTTTGCCTCCCTCGTGGTGATGTTTACACATCGCACCAGGATACTCATTTGAGGCCGAGTCGGCCTAGGGGAGGCCCAGCACTCGTTCAGAGTGGTGTTGGCCGTGACAGGGAATCGAACTTGGCTCGCTGGGTTCGTAGCGCAGTGGCGCCAACCGCTGCGCCACCGCTCCCCTTAAGCAGCATTACACAAATCAACACCAATACAACCGCCATTTGCCACTAAGTGACGGTGACGTCACCACGGCGCGTGCCAGGCCAGGTTCACTTTGAGGCCACGTGAAGTGTTGAAGGCTCGCTGACAGGGGGTCACGGGACAGATCCAGGTGCCATGGATTGACTGACTGAGATGACTGAGAAATGCACCAGCTGTGCTCCCTACTGTGCCTGACACAAATATCCCCCCCGTATAGCCTGAATAGACTGTTGGGGCAAGTGCTGTTATAGCAAGTACCTATGAAGGCCGGAACGGCACACGAGGGGGTGGGTGGCCAGCAACACGCCCGGCCGCCTTTTCCCCACACAGGCTCGCGCGCACACCATCGCCGCACGAACACGGACGTCGACCGGCCGGCACAGAGACCCCCACGCACCTTTGTGCACCGCAGACTCGAGGCAGAGCAGCAAGTAGGAGAGGCGGGCCTCGCGAGCCCGCGGAAGGTTCTCCCCCGTGCAGCGGAACTTCTTGAGGTCGGCACGGCACGCCTTCGCCAGCGAGTAGCTCACCTTGTAGTCCTGGGTAATGAGCTTCTGCCGCATGGTGAGCGCCACTCGGCACTGCGACGCACAACAAGACAAACATCTCCCATGTAGCCTTCACAGACTGTTGGGGCAAGTGCTGTTAGCAGCGAGCACCTACGTAGGCCGGCACAGCACATGAGAGGGCGGGTGGCAATTCCACGATACCACGGCCTCAGTGAGTCTACCACCTCATACAGGACCCTACCGTCGAACCTCCCGGTTTCAACCCTCCACGCCGCCAATGGTTGACCAACCGAATCAGGACCGGGCATGGCCAATGCGGCCACCCGATGCACAAATGGCACCCATCAAAGATTCGGCGGCCCGCGAGTGGTGCGGCCCACGAATCCCAAACCATCGACAGCGTCGTAAAACACTCCGCGCTGCTGCTGTCGCCCATCCACTCCCGCTTCCGAAAAGTCAACCGAGTGGACAACAAATCTGCAGCGGCATTTCTTTAATCCGCCGCTATCAATCCACACGAAAGAAGGCAACGACAAACTCCCCGCACGCACGGTGTGTGGCGTGTAGTCGCGAGCTCTGCCTCCAAGGAAGGGTCACAACACGATTTGTCGCCTTCCCGATTCGTGGCGAGTGCCAGAGGTGCCCGAGTCTCGTCAGCCAAGCCGTCTCACTTGCCAGGCTTCACGTAAATCCTGCCTGGGTTTCACACCGGCACGATAATCTGCGCTTAAGTTCGGAGACAAGCGGACCGTTGGCAGCGGGCGGTATTTATTGAACAAACATCGCACGCTCACTTTTATACTGAGAAGGACCGTACCCTTGCCAAAGGGGAACAACAGGTCTGTCAGTTCTCTCTTTTGGCATACATTTATCATTCCTATCTTAAGGACAAGCCACTGTTCCATTACTACAAAGTGTTTTTCATTTTAGAGATCCTAAAAAAAACATTATGATGAAGTGTGCCAGTAGTTCGCGCACTGCAATACGAACGTGGCGATTTGAGTTTGATTCCCTCTGATGCAGAAAAGGCAAGATCTGAAGCGGTCCTGGGCAACCAACCCCCCCAAGACTGACATGGCGTGGGGTGGAGTTTCATCCAACAATGGATCGATAAAGGCCAGTAAACTAACGAATATTGATCCATCCAAGTTGGTTTCCCCAGTGGGATTTTAGCTCGCAACCTTCTGACGGCGAGTGGCGCACTCTGACCGTTGCAGCGCGACTCTGGTCACCCTCTATCCCTCACTCTCGTGAACCCTCTGGCCAGTGGCAATTGAGTGGCTCCAACTCTCTCCATCAGCCCCATCTTGAGCTTTCTTCTCAATTTCACTCTCCACCCTTCCCCTATTTTCCAGGGCCTCCGTGCCAACCAGGGGAACTGCTCGGCAGGGTTGAGGCGTGGGCGTCGGATGATTAGGATGCAGCGGGAGGCCCCTACGGCGCTGGGAGAGACCAGACGGCCGGGCCGACCCCCCCCCGGGGGCCACCCAAGCCGCCGTGACGACGATTCCCGTCCGGCAGGGGAATTAAGGCGATCACGCACGGCCGCACTCACGCGATCGGTGATGCACGCTCACACCGGTGGGTAATTTCGGCAAGTTTGGGGCAGAGGGCGCGTGCGGTGAATGTAAAAGCAGCGTCAGCACACCGAGGGGTGCCCTTGCGTTAACCCCTCCCCCCCCTTGCAGCCAGAGAACGGCGGAATGTCAAACACCGTGCCAAAGGGCGTCAGTACGAGGGCAAGGGAGGCACACTTGAAAACGCGGAATGGGATGTCTACTCTAATTCGAGGCTTTATTTAAGACAATCTGCAGATACAACATCTTCCTTTCAGCCTATTAAGAGAAAAAACACACACGCGATGCCGCCCAGCCAAACAGGCCAATGCTGAAAAATGTACAGCAAATTGGCAGGTTGCATGTGGTGAGGTATAAAAATCGTCTGGTCAGCATGGAAGAGTAAACCAAATACCCTCTCTAGAGCAACCTCGAGCCGAGGTTCCTTCCACCAGCAACGGCGGAAGGGCCTCCCGCTGCCTTCAGCTTTTGGGAACCGATGAAAAGCAGAGCCACGCGGTGCCGTACCATGGCTGCCGGCAACCAGCCGGTCACAAGCGCCGCGTGCCCAGAGCCGTCTGTTCGTTACCGTCGGTCCACTCGCCATCGCCGATTTCCACAACTTTCGGAATCGATATATTCAGTTCTGAATTTTTATTTTTTTACCGGCGTACTGATCATCGTTTAAAAACCACGGTTCATAAATAGGGGGTTGGAGTGATTCAATGTGCTCACTCCCCAAACACACAGAGACAGTGTCGGGGATTATCTCGTGATTAGTCATGGTCGTTTTGTCAATGAGTAATGAACAACTCTTCGTCAGCCTAACGCTGGACGAGAGGCATCGCCGCGCGTGGCCCATGTGGCACCGCAATGGTCAGCCCGGCTTGGCGACGAGGGAGCATCCGTCTCGGGCACCTGTGCTCAAACACCAGCAAAGTTCTTTCATCTCGAACAAACACGACCCCCGTTACCTTGTCGGTCATGTCATCCTCAAACTTGTGGTTGAAGAGACACTTGTAGACGCGGCCCTCCCCGGCGGTGACCTGCAACGGGAGCGGCACGGGGGAGACGTTAGCGCGCCAGGGCAACGAGCTCGGTGGACTCGCGTGGCCGAGCGGGCGTGCGAGCGGGCGAGACCTTGCAGCGGGCACACAGAGAAGCAGCGGTGAAGGTGCAAGGGTGATCCATATAAAGGTGTCTCAAATTCTAGAGCAATTAAACATTTTTTTCAAAGCCACATTGCACGCATCTCCCACCAATCTCGAGAACACTTATTAAACCCTCGAGCACTTTCCTCTGTTAGACTTTAAAGCCATCGCTTGTGCAATGTTCTATCTCCTGTTGGGGAGAAAGTTAAGAGGGGGCATTAGAAATCAGCGGGGTGTCTATGAATGGATTGCCCTGGGCATCCAAATACAAGACAACGCGATTCTGATACGATGCACGTGACGAAGCGACGTTGAAAATCTATTCTCGCGGCCACGATACGTGTGCCGAAATGCGCGTCCGAAACAAACGATTTACAAGTGAAGGACAATGCACGCCCATTATTAAACCTTGAACACTTGGACATGCACGGGTGGGTGCAGTGGTGGCGCAGTTTAGTGTGGACTTAAATGAACACAACAAGAGTCATATGCTGGCATTGACGGTTGCGATGAGATCACCGACCCGCTCTGTTGGAGAACCTGCTTTCATCACGGGTGGCTGAAACCCGGACCTGAACCAGGATCCCGGCAGTGCTGACTTAGTCCTCCCACCCACTGTTGGCCCCCTAAGCTGCCAATCCACCTCAAAGTGCATCGTATTATTTGGGCAAGAAGCGCTGCAGCGATTCATCAAATTAATTACATTCCTGATGCTCCCCATTGCATGGGTCCAATCACACACTCGATGATTGATTATTTTACTTTGGCATATGTTGCATGTATTAATTAATTTGACCCCCGGTAGTGGCGGCGTTGAGTGGCGGCGGCGCCGAGTAGTGGTGGTGCGGAACGGGAGGGCGCTCCGACCTTCTCGCAGAAGCGCTCGCGGTCGCTGTGGCAGGCGAAGTAGAGCTGCCGGTCGAGGTGGAAGTCGTCCGACGAAAGCTCGGCGACGCGCAGTATCGACTTCTTGCACTCCTCCTGGAGATGCGGACCCTGGTTCTGCTCGTTCTCGTCCGTCAGGGCCTTCTCCAGGCAGCTCACGACCGCGCCCTGCGAGTGGAGGTCCTGCGGCCGAGCGGAGGGAGGAGACGCTCAGGCGACAACGCCCAAACGGCTCCGACGGTGCCCGACACCGAGTCGTCTCCCGGCTCAAACGAGCGAAGCGATTGCTCGCCCCCCGCGGCTGAGCTTTGGTTATTTTTAGAGCCGCAGCGATTGGCAACGGCAATGATGGATTCATATCTTCACGAGTGCTTCGATGAATAAATGAACGGAATAAAAATAGCCTATTTGCATTCAATAAATTACCACGCATTGTACTCAAAACGTGCGATTCAATGGCACTGGTAATTCACGGCACCGCTCGGCAGGAAGAGCAGCGGCAACCCCGTTCCTTCTGCTTCAAGGCCCACGGCAGCGACTCAAGTAAATTCCAGTGCATTAGCACGACAACGTCTGTCCATTATGCGAGCAATTACGTAGGCCGCATCCTCTCGGCAGCAGTCACAGCCCATTAGTCCGAGCCGCCATGTGTGCACGCGGCCCCCTCGTGCCGCTCGCAGCGGCGGCGGCGCTACGCGTCGCGCGCTCAAACAGCACCCCGCTGGCGCCAGCTGACATTCTCTGTCTGCTGCTAGACGGCAGAATCTCGGGGGGAAGAGACGGAATCATCAACGGCAGTGTCGTCAGCCGTGATCAATCCACTGCTGGATGAAGGCCTTCCCCCCCCAGCTGTCGCCGTCTCTCGCAGTCCTGCGATGGCGACAACCCACCTCGCGCCCACACGCGAGACGATTTTATTGCTCCATCTCTGCGGTGTACGTCCGCGCGTGCGTGCTCCCTCCAATGGCTCCCACTCCGAAATTACCCTCGATTATCGGCCATCATCATCATCATCCCTTCTCCCAACGTGTCCTGCCCAAGCCCACTTTTTTTAAGGCGGATTTTTTTTTATATACAAAAAGGAACAACACCCACTCTCATCAATTGCAGCTGTGATTCATTCCACTCCTACACTTCCTCTTACCCACAATGTTCCATTCTTCCATTCAGTTTCAATTATCCCCTCGACTCTGGCTGTCATTTCATCTTGGGCTTTGTGCAGGAGAGGGAACTTAAGACTCATCCCAGAGATTGTTCCTACCCTCCCCCACCCTCGTAAGTCGCAGATTCAGGTGGCTTTGTTTTGCCGTCAATTGTCCATCCACCAAAGCTCGACCGCGGCCAAATCAAATGCCCCGGATGCCCCCCCCCACCCCAACATGCCCTACTTGATGAGGATGACACACTTCCTGGGGCATCAACAGTGGATCTCTCACGGAGTGACCGGTGTGTGTCCCCCTGCCCCCCCCCGCCCCTCCACTCTAGGAAACTTGAAATTTCCACTGCAGGTTCAAGACCGCCACCGGGGAGATGAGAACCATCCTGCGTTCAGACCCAAAGTTTTGCGCAAGTAAGTGAGCGGCCATAGAATTTGCCGGTAATGAAACAACAAATCGTTCACTCGCACTTCACGCGAGTCAGAGCGGCCGACACTCCGCGGCTGCGTACATCATTCCAGAAATGCATGATGAAATACACATATATATAGGGGAGGATGGTGTTAAGGATTACAACTCATTGCCAAAGCGGGGGGGGGGGGGGGGGGGGCAGATAGCGCTGATCTGTACAATAAAATGCAAACACCACTTATGGAGACATGTTTATTAATAGAGAACCCTCGGGGCTGTTACTCGGATAAATAACTGACCTAAATACTGAATGTTTCTGGATTCCAAGAACATCCATAAACAGACAAACCTCATCCAATTGCACGCAGAACTTTGCACCGTACATAGCCAACCGCGGTTATCGGTGGTGCTAATGGGAGCTACACAAACTATTTCCAAATATCGCCTTACATTTTTGTGTCATGTATAATACATCTATATCCAGAGCTGCCAGATGGCGGTACAATAATAGATGATTGAATCAGAGTGTTTAGTGTCACCCCGCTGTATGTGCCATATTCTCCGAGGTGTCAGATTTCATCCCCACAAGCCACTCAGTTGAAGGATTGGCCAAAAATCCGATTGTCGGAGCCTCCTCCTGCAAGACTAACACGACACAGCAAAGCTTTCCTGGATATACAAAGGGCATCGTTTGTTATTTATTGTATATAAATAGTAAATATATAACAATGATAAGTAACCACTAGGTTTTGCATTTCCCATCGTGTTAGAAAGTGACATGTTTATCACCAAAAGGCCCTGGCGTGGTCCTGTGTCTGGCCGCCCCACACACTGCAGTCAATAGATAAGGCTCGGCTGTTACTGGGAACACGCAAGGACGGTTTCACAACGCCAGCCCTCGACTCGGGGCGCTCGCATCTTGAGACCGACTCACGTGCACAGCACAGACTTCACACTTCAGATACCTGCCAAGTACAAAGTACCAGGGCCATGACCCGGCATCTCAAGCGTACCTTGCGACACGCATATATGCATACTATGAGCCACTTAAAACGAAAAAACGACTGGCGTTCTCCACTAACACTGGCTGAAAAAATAAAACGTATATATATATGAGGCAATGTGTTGTTGGGCAATGGCATTTATTCACAGCACATAGCGAGGCCAGAGCGGAAGAGTAGATAGAAGTTAGAGACTGCACTTTATATACCATGGGGCCTGATACGAATCTAAATGTATCAAACGTTTCCTGATAATGCACTTGGTTATGCACTTAAAACTAACAGTCATAACCATTGTGTGAAAGCACAATCTAACTTTCTATAGGGGAAACGCTCTCTCGGGGAAACGCTCTCTCGGGGAAACGCTCTCTCGGGGACCGGTAGAGTTAAACGTTCGATGTGGAAAAAACTGGGACCAGGGAACAGTGCACCCAACGGGAAATCATTTGGGATTTTTTTTTATGAATAGGGCATGTGATACAGAACAAAACTCACCAAGTGACACTAGACTGGGGATTTCACTGCACCAAAATGTTGTGCCATTCCATAGTGTGTGTGTTACATCCCTGGAATGCTGAGATTGTAAAAGTGAAATTGAACAGCTTCGTAGTTTGGTTGTAAACTGCATGATTTAAATAACATTAAATCACACTTGTTTGGTTCAACTTTACATTCCAATTTCATCGTTTCAGTGGCCTGCCTGCCAAGAAATGTAATGCAACTGCAGATGCAGCTTGTTGAGATATTGGTGCATTCTTTTTTATAAATCAAAATTGTATTTTATATTTAGGCCAAAACACTAATTCAAAGTTAATTAATTTCCACGGGCATCCCAGCCAATTTAATTTGAAGCATAGTCACGAGATTGTGAAATATCAAATGGGAATACTCGTCTGAGCCTGCCACCTGTACCACGTAATGCTTGCAGACTTGAAAGTGCTTATGATAACTTACCAAACATGTTCAATCAAGCGTGCCACATTGGGCATCTGGCTACGCCAATAAGAGGACATTTGTTACCCGTTAAAGAGCTGAGATTAGACAAGGGAACGGTGACGTGTCTAAAGGGAGCAGAAATAAGAGCTAAGTAAATACAATAATGTGCGACACCCCCTTTGACATTCACAGACTGGGCGAGCCACCCAGACCTGGTGAAGATTTCTCGCGTGCCAGGTTCAAAGTGCGAAGTCATAACCGCTGCTTCACAAGCCCCGGCCGGACACAGGCAATCAAACTTTTGACGCTAAACATCAACCAGGGGCAGTGCAAAGTACAACACTGACAGGTGTTACACGCCACCTTGAGTTTAACACGTAGTAGTAGTAGGCTTTCGCGACCAATATTACTCGTAATAAAGGTTTTTTTGGTTTGATAGCATAAATATAAATGTGTCGTTAACCCACCACCACACCACACAGCCAATTAGTAATCTTTGGCACGTAAACAAAACGTGCCAATTAGTTACTACTGCAGCACAGCGGGTGTGTCATGCAATTCACGGTGCCCAGCTGTGCAGGTTTAGATTATCTCCAACGTGTAAATGAAGCATTAATAAACTTGGTCAAACACCCCAATGTAGGAGGGATGCTTGAACTGGTGCAACTGCGGATAGGACCAATGTAAATTGCAATCCCAGACGTCGCCAGTTTGGTCCGATCTCCCAGCGTGCCAGTTGACACAATGGCCGAGTGTCTGAAATGCACTCCCCGCCCCCGCGCTGTTCACCCAGCAGTGTCGTTTGGTTTGATAGAGTCCAGCGACTCGGTGCGTCTTTCATGCATAAAGCCAACAGTGTTTCCCAACTCCATAGAGCAATGGGGATGGCGCTAATTTCCGGCGGCAGCCCCTAAAAAGTCAGTGGTGGGAAGTCCACAACGCCACAACTCTTGGGCCAGCTTCCCCATACATGGGTAGAGCGGAGTTGGTCAGCGAGTGGCCTCTTAGCCCTGTTATTTTTTTTTATATTTCGCCTTTCGCCACCTCTTCCGCAGCAATCGCCACCTCTCGGGTGTGGATTGGCCCCCACAATAATAATAAAATAACACAGTTGAGCACCGTGTTCAACGGTTGTTTTCAGGGGCACTTTACAGACTTTTTTGTACGTGCAGTACAAAAAGTGCGAAGAAATCACGTTTGTTTCAAGAAGACCGCTCGCAGCCTCTGTTCACTTTGCCGACTTGAACTTCAGCACACCTTACGTAAAAACGGCACTATTTACACAAAACCCGGCACGGCACCAGTTAAAATGTGGAAAGTGAGCCGCGCTGGTTCACATTTCCATTCGGCCAAACGCACACACATGAACCTCTTACCAAAAATCCCCACACATCCTAATGTCTCGCTGCACAAAATGCACAAAAAAACCCTTGGCTTTCAAAATGTTTATGTCTATCCCTCAATTCCTCAAGTAGTTAATTTAATCGCCGAGAAATGTTTATTTTTTTGCTTGTTTTGGCAGTCTGCTTTGACAAACGCTCGCTGGATTTTGCATTTGGTTGGGTCAACTGGAATGTTTCATGCGATGGATGGGCCCTAAAGCGAAGCGGTGTACTGCAGTGACAATGAGCGAGAGGTTAACATTGGGAGGGAAGACAGGATTAATTGACGACCATGCTTGCTGATGAGAACTAATTGCCGGTAATGACAACCATGGCCAGGAGCGTAACGTGGGTCAGGGACTGCTGTCAACTGAGAACATGGGCGGAGGTCAGTGATGGCGCCACTTAGATGATTCCTAGTTTAAGCCACCTGCGATTAAACTGGGTTTCTCCAAGCGTAGAAGTGTGTGACGAGATAATGCTCGAACTGCGGTGAACCAATTCAAAGCGTTGGATGGACAGAAATGGTTGGGGGGGGGGAGGGGGTATTTACAAAACTTGCGCAACTCCAGGTTGGGTTGCGCGGCTAATATTTCCTCTCCGGAGATTTCGCCAAGCGCGGCTGGGGGAACCATCCTCGACAGCTGAATCGAGTCATCACTGCTCTCCTCGCAATCTTCGTCACGTCAATCATGCCCCGATCGATCATTCCGTGTGGAATGCATTCACGATTGCTGCTGTCCCCGTCTCCTACAAACGCCGCTCACTCCGTGCCTTGTTTGAACCCAGGTTGGCTCTTTGAAATGAGTCGCACCCGCCCAAGGTTTAGATCTTGATCCAGGCTATGCGCATCGAGAACCGATTCCAAGTTTCGGCAAGATTGAAGCCATCATCAAGAGAAATATGTGGAGGAGAGCTTTGCTTCTAAGGAGATCGTTTGTGGCGTGGATGGACAGAGGCAAGGGGATTTGAGAAACTGAACCGATTGTTTTCAATCACCAAGCTAGGAAACCGAGTCAAACTGACTGATTGTGCTAACCATCACACCACAGCAAACGCCTTACTTTCTCAGTTAAAATGGTAAAACTGTGTTTATTGTTAGACATTGCTATACACGTGGCGAACTTATAACCATTATTATTGACGCACTGCAAAAATTTCTAAGTAATAGATGACAGCTAAACATTGTGAAACGTAATCCATGGGCGTGTTGATTCTTTATTTAATTATTTTTTGCTTTCCAGCCACCACCACGCCTCCCCATGGAGAGTCGGGTTAGGGTGGGGGGGGGCTTGGCCCACGGAGCCTCGTGGGTCATTGAGGAAGGGAACACGGAGGATCTGGGCCTGAATAACTGGGACCGGACTGAGAGGACAGATGCTGGTTTCCAGCCGTCATTGACACGAAGGGCGAGCCGTCAGAGCGATGATTAGCAGAGAGAATGCGTTCGTAGCTACGAGTGTGTGGGCTAGTGGTGAGAATTTTAACTCTCTCTGCATTATTTATGCGGGGGGCTCTGCGGGGAAACTGCGCGCTGTACGAATGCCAACTTCGCCCAGTGGGTGGCGACGGTCAAAAAGCTATGGCTACGATTGCGGCTATAACCGTGGTTAACGGTGACAACGAACCGGTGGTCACGATCGTGGGTGTTGCTTCGGCTCGGTTCGCCCGCACCTCGTCACATTCACTTGAGGCGTGCGTCAGTACCGCGCGCAGCGGGGGGGCCGCCCGCGTAACGCAACGCGTCGTCAGCGGCGGTCACCTTGGGGTCGGCTCCGATGCGTCCGCACTGCAGCCGGTTGATGTCCTGCTTGCAGTTCTCCACGAAGCCGCAGATCATGCGGTAGTCGCTGAACACGATGCTCGTCATGCGCGTCACAAACTGGTGGCACTGGTAGTCGGTGATGTTGGGCCGGTTGTCGATGAGGCACGAGATGAGGTAGCCCTTGCCACGCTCCTGGCCCTGGCACTCCTTGAGCTGCGGGTCACACACACGCGCGCACACACACACACACACACAAACACGCGCGCACACACACACACACCACGGCCCACCGCGCCACGCGGTTAGCCCTACGAACGAGCGCTGCTCACGAGCGCCGGTTGACGTCGCCACCGGCACGCAAGCGGGAGGCAGGCGGTGGGTGGTGTGGGGATCGCGATGTTCACGCCCCGTTGCCTCCGTCTCCACCCTGATGAATGCATAACAATGCATTTCATTGATTTATTTACACAGGAAAGCCAAACTGAGTCCGCAGACCCTTGTTAAGGAGGGGTCCCTGCTACATCGGGATGGTCGATCAATTACAGTTAAGACTGTTTTTAGCTATGGGAAAAAAACAGAACCCAGAACCCAGAGGAAACCCCAATATACAAGAGGGGGGTAGAACTTCACACAGAAAGGCACCCGAGTCGGGAATCGAACCCAGGCCCTTCTTGACATCCTTCACCATTGATGTGCAGGATCATAGCACAGTGCAGCATTAAAAACACTGTGCCATAGAGAGAGACAGACAAACGCACAAAGACCTCCTGTGTAGCCTTATTGACCTGTTAGCAGCAAGTACCTATAAAGACCGATACTCTACACAATGGCATTTTGTGTTGAGCGTGTGCACACAAACACACCAAGGCAGACAAGAAAAATGGTGACTTACAAAATGATGATTCAAAGGAAAAATGGGACCTAACCCGCAATGCAAGCGGAGTCAACGCCAATTTTCCAGAGCCTGCTGTGACTGCTAGAGTGAATATGCTTAAACCACACTTGCATTCAACAGCTGTGCCTGGCTTCTTGAATCTCTGAAAGTGGATCCGAGCCCGCGGTAATAGAGAAAGGTGTTGTTTGTGTGGGGACTATTACGCGTGTTTAACAAGGCAAGAGGATTATAATGACCTGCTGTGGGGATTTAATCCACCGTGGTTAAGGTCAAACTTTATTGACTACAGAGCGCCGTGAGATTGTTAATGTTCACAGAGGCTTGGTGCGAAGTGTCATCGCACCCCAGCAATCCACTGCTGTTGGGCATTGGGGGTTGCTTTGACCATACTTCACCACTCTGGTCCGTGTGGATGGGGGAATCAGAGAGGGCCCAGAACCGGTTTAGATAATACTCACCAAACGATGAGAAACGTGCATCAGGAACTGAACTCGGATTGGTAAATTCATAGCGCAGTACGCTATAATCCACTGTGCCACACCTGATTCAGGCTATTTAAATTAATTTTTAAAACAGCCCGAGTATGTCGCATATACATTTCCGTTTTCCTTCCCCCGCAACTCCGATTAGGATGGTTGGCTACGTATGGTGCGAAAGAAGTACAACATCACGCACCTACATCTGGCCAGGTTGTGGCACCATGGTGGTGTACATTATCACAATTGGATGGGGAAAAAATTAAAATCCTGGTCTGATCAACTCTACATCCCTCGAGGTGCAGAAAAAAATAGGTACCACCGTGTGGAAAGTCGTAAGTGGCTTTTCTACGTAGAGACTGCCCCCCCCCCAATAGCCGCCGCCCCAACCCCCCCTGCAATTAAAATGCAGAATTTCCACCATGGGCTCAGGGACAGCCCCCCCCCCCCATTGCTCGTCACTTTGACTCGACTTGATAAACGATGATGTATTACACAGGCACGCCAATCAAGTCGCTTCACGCGAGAACCTGGTGTGCAATCACCACCAGGGCCTGCCCTGGTTTGAACCCAACAGCTCGGTGCTGCGACGCTCGCGTTATGAACCTCCGGAGAGGGGACACCAACAGCCATCTCTCATGTCGCCACCGCTGCTTTAAAAAACACAAGCGCAGAGTGCTCACTAAAGTGTAACCAATAGCCATTTCTCCACCTCGCGGTTTCTCGTTTCTCCCAGACACACAGATCGAGAGAGAACAGCTTCCAGCACCGAATAATATTACCGCACGTTGGGGGCGCAAAGCGCACCTGGTCAGACGGATCGTTTAAAACCGGTTTTGGCACGAACGAGCAGCCAATGGACGGCGGGTTGAACTGGTATTTTCACACACACACAAAAAAAGTGCTTTCAGACTTCCACGTGGCCGGGAATGTCCGGTTGGTGCTGTTACCCTCACAGCTGATGAAGCGCGCGTAACCAACTAGGCGTGCCGCTCCTGTGGGAGAGACGATAGTTTGCACCCTCCCCCCCCGACAGACCGTCATCCCTGGCAACGTACGTATGTACCGTACGTTGAACTTCTTTCGCACCGTACGTAGCCAACCACGCTCATCGTTGGTCACGTATGTCGCTTGCTCGCTGTCGCGCGCGCCGTGCAACGCCTCCGCGGGAACCAAGGCGCGCGCCCTGCGTGGCGGGGCCTAAATCACGCGGTGGCCGCAACGGGGAACGCCCGCAGCGGTCGGGGGGAAAACGAACACCGCCTTCCAATTTGCGTCCGCGGATTGCGGCGTCGCGTGCCCCAAGCGCTTACCGGCCGGGCAGGCAAATCGGCGGCGTGGCCGACGAGCAGCGGCAATGAAAACGGGAGGGAAGTCGTTGGCCGTGCGAGCAGCAAAAAGGTAAAACCGTCGCGAGCGACTGCCAAATGTCCGCCGCGCAAACGTACGAGTCGGGCAGTACGGGGGGGGGGGGGGGGGGGGGGGGACTCACAAAGGGCAACAGAGGTTCGGCACAAACCCTCACAACCCCTCGGAGGTCCTTTGATGAGTTAAGTATACGAGCCTGATATTAATTCTGATTATTTTGTTTGTGTATTCCAGAATCATCCAGGAAGGACAATGTGCGCATGTCTACAAAAACATCGTCAGCGATGATCTTGCTGCGTGCCAGAAAACTTCCTCCAAGTCATTAATTACAAAGTGAATCTTAAACAAGTTCCCGCCACTACATCATAGACACGTCAGCCAGACAGCTTCATAGATCGTTGGGGCCAAGCGGTGTTTGCGAGCACCTCTTAAGGCGGACATTACAAATGAGGGGGTTGGTGTGGCCACCTCCACGGCTGGCCATGGAGGTGGCAACACCAACCCACTGTATCAGGAGCAGCTCATTTAAGGCTGAGTCGACCATTGGGAAGGAGACCCAAGGGGGGTTTCGGAGACCACGATTCGCTGACGTTTGCCACGGCTGGGAATGTAACTCGGGTCACAGATTTTCACACCCGGTGTTGACAACTATTGTACCACACCACCGCTCTCTTCCCCCCAGACACAGGTTGAAGATAATTACTTAGCGAGTAACAATTATCCCCACTCTCAACCACAACCTGAGGTCACGATTTAACTCAACAATTTTACGAAGGGGGACCCCCCCCCCTTTGTAAAATGTTTACCGTTTTGTTTGCATCGTTTCTCTTTGCCTGTTTAAACATCCTCAATCGATCCACTCACCTAAATTAAATATTTGCACAATGTATTACTGTACTTGCAGAAAAACGTTGTGCAAACAAACACACTGTGAACATTTTACATCTAGGTGATTCCACAGATTGTAGGATTCGTTAATGGATGGATTTAATGTATTATTTGTGTAAATCGTTAGACAAGCTATTTTTATAATAGGGTTTTTCCCCTTTTTTTACACACGTGGTCTTATGCACGGATCACAAGTAGCAAAACTGGGTTGAATTAACGAATCTTAACTTGCCAAATAAGTCGTCTCTAGCGGGGGTGGTGAAGTGGCTGGAGCGGCTACCGATAAGGCTGCTGCCATAGTAATATGGAACTTCCACCGATGGCTCCAGGCCGCCAAGAGAAGCGAGGGACAGCCCTACATTCGCTTGAGCCACAAGGCACTTTCACCTTGGATACAAGTTCTGGTGTACCCCGATATACGCTTATGCGATTTACGATAAGTCGTCATTACGTTCGTCTTAAATTGCCAATTTTTTTCCCCAGTTTGCGTCTCCTGTTTGTTTCGTGATGCCGTTCGGATGGCCCACGGGGGAAAGGGGGGGGGGCACTACTCCTGCCCCTCCCCCACCCTCCCAGTCATCCCTCCGGCCTTTTTTCCAGGGGAAACGCGCGGTAGGTACGGCCTGAAAATGCATCGGAGAGAATTTGACGTTGCCCGGCAGTTTTCATCGAATCGCTCGCGACGAGCAATGCTTTGCGGCGAGCAGAGACGCCGCTTGCCACACACACGCATGTGCAGACTCGTTGTTCACGCGGGGTCGGGTTCTTGCCGTTGGGATGGAGGGAATTTGCCCAAGGCCTCCGTCCTTGCACCCATTCACGTGCTCCTCAACCCACGCAAGCAAGTGCCGCCTTTGTGATGCCACGTCGCCTTACCCCCGCTTAACTCCCGGATCTCATCTTGCTCATTACTTCACCTCCCGCGAGCTCCGCTTTGCCAATAATGCCATTGCCGTTTGGCCGTCTTATTCTCTCTCGCACTTCCAGGGACATTCTCTACGATGATAGCGGTGACAACAAAGTCATTGATTTGCCCACACAAGCCTGAATGACTCATTACGTCTTTTTTATTTTTCACAGAGGGACCTATATTAATTTATTCGATGAATTCAGTTGTAAAGACCGATCGGTGCATGGGACAAAACCCATTCATTCATACGAGGGGCTAACACTCAATTGGTCCGCACGGACGGCTTCACTAACCCAACATAAGCTGTCCTGCCATCCGTCTCCTCGTGACCTCGTAACCCGGCAGGTTTTCGGAATTTCAGAAAAAATGTTTCCGGGTCCACCAAGACGTGATTCTGTGTAGCACTGGCTTCGAGAGTCACGCCCCTGTCGCCGCCAGCGACGACTAACGGGGGAGTCACGCTTTGTCCCGTCCAGGCTGGCCTCGCCCTTGCCGTCCACATTCCCTCTACTTCAGCCTCTCAGATTACAGATACTATGTGGATACTGTCGTGTGAGCGTGTTCTTTCTGACAAATACTCAACCTCTGCATTTAAAATCGGTGGTTATCGATAAGACCGCTTAGAAATGTGGAATTTTCACCGCCAGCTCAGGCTCGCAAGAAGAGAAGGGCACCGCCGCCCAACACATGCTAAGATTGCCACTGCACAGATGTGGTTGTTTATTACTGTTGTTGTATCATAACGAGTAGAGAATCCGTCACTTTGCAAAGGGAAAATCAAAATACTGCTTTTTTCACGCCATAAAATTCCAAGATAATATGTATTGAGATGTTTTAAAATATTCTCAAGGATTTAAGGAATGTTCTGTCGAAAGAATTACATTAACAGGAGCACAAATTGAAAAGTTAGAGCGATTTTAAATTAACCGTATCGGTCTCCTCTATTCGTTACTCCCGCCTCTTCAGTGTTGCTATCTTTTAACATTATTATTACGTCTTCCGATCTTGCTCGCCCGATTCAATTAAATGCTTATTTTATTTAAACGGCAATATCCCGTTTGGCTGTTTACAACACAACGAGATTCAGTGGCAACTTCCCGCAGCTGCCACGAACAATAGAGTTCTTGTTGGGGTCGAGAGGAGCTCACCCAGCAGCCAGCGAGCCAACTCAAGGCGTAGATTCATTTTAGTAGTAGTAGTATGATAATTACTTACGAGTCACAGTTGTACCAACATTTCCATGCTTTTGTTCTACGCAACCCCTGCACAAACCCTCCCTTCCAACGTAACGTTGCTGGCAGCCGGCGTCATATCAGCCGCCTTGGCCAGCGTGAACGCGAGTGACCGTTCACTTTTCTTCAAGCAGAGCCGCTGCCAATTACTGCACGAATAATTTAACTCGTCATCCAGTTGCCGCACTGATCAAGATCCTCAAGCCCAAAGGCGTTCCCGTGACTGATTAAGCTGCTGCCAAATGTGCCAGATTTCTTAGAAAGTAATGGTGGGGGGGGCGGAGGCGGGGGCGGGGAGTGGGTCCTAATGGAGCCGAGCGCGCATCCCCCTTGACCCAATGCGGGAGAGCGTAGCAACACTCATCCACTCGCTCTCTCCTCTTCTCAAGGTCAAACCACTGAACGCGCGCGCGTGCGTGCGCGCGCGAACACACACACACCCATAACCTCACGCGTATAAATCAGCACGCACCGCCAATTCCAGCTATCCTCCTGTATTTTCATTAGGGTGCCGTGACGCTGAAAGGAAGCGTTTTAGCGCGTTTAAAGAAACATGCTGTGCAACAAAAAAATATTGTCAATTTGCAATTGTGGGAGGATAAGGGCTGTGGTGAGGGTCATGATACTTATGGAACATCCCTTCAAAGGCAGAGTGTTTAAGTTAAGTTTATATTATTTCATGTTTGGACCTATTGCTAGGATGATATTATGAATGATTAAGAGGGTCTGATCCATTAAAATCCACCATTATCAATGGTATGGGGGTCACACAATGTGAAGATTCACATTTGGGCCAGGGTTAAAGTAAGTGTGCTTTATTGCTATGGTTGTCATACAGTTAGGACATGGGAGTTTCAATCATATTGGTCGTAGTTGAGGTCATAGGAAAGTGTTTTCATACCCAAACAAAAAACAGCGCTCACTTCAACTGGAGGCCCCGCGTGGTGGAAATTCCACATTCATATGGCAGGTTTTTTTTTTTTCTCCACAGTACAACCATTTGTTGAGATCGCACACAGTGGATGGAGACTCCCAAGATTGGGATTTGAATTTGTGATTTTCCGATGGTGCGAAGAGCGCTTCACCAGTGCCATCTGACTGGATGCAATTAAGAAAAGGAGGTAATATTAAGATAAGTGTCATGGCTATAATGTATGTCGAACTTCTTTCGCACCGTACGTAGCCAACCGTGCTAACATTTTTGTAACGACATTTACATTTTAATCGGTGAATACTGCCTACTATGACACACGGTTCAGAAACATGGGAATTGCCAAATAAGACGGAAGAAAAACTCAAGAAACGTGCACAAAGATTCCCATAGAAACATGCGCTTGGAATGCATGTATGCTGAACTTCTTTCGCACCGTACGTAGCCAAACCGTGCAAAATCAGGAGGTGCGGGAGTAACGCCGGGAGATGGAAAAAAAGAGGAGCACGTGGATCGGAGAACGCACGCTGCAGCAGGCACGGGAAGGAAGAAGGGGACATCTCTTACCTCCTGCAGGGCGGTCTTGCACACTTCCCCCGCCGCCACGTCAAACCGCTCGTCCGTCGTGAGGTTGTGCTTGTAATTCCACAGCAGCTGCAATAGACCCGGCGGGGTGCTTTAAAATGACAGATTCTCGCGCTGGGTCTTCAACAAAACGCCACACTTCCCACCCCCCCCACCCCCTCCCGACAACTTCTCAATTCGCACAGTGTTCAGAGCTCCGTCCACGAAGACGCGTAGATGTGATTTTTTGTCTCGTGAACTGTCAAAGCAAAGGGCTGTCAAAACAAAGGGCTGTCACAACGAGGACGTTAGGCAACACGAGGTGGCCATGTGGTCGGCATTCTTTGCTTTGAAACCTACATCTATACTCATTGCCGATTTTCACCCACCCCCCACCAGGAACGTATGTAATGCTGAATCGACCTAAGAGGACCAGGCCAGGTTCACATCGGAACTGCTCAGATCTTCAGCACGCAGGTTTGCACTACAATGCATAATCCAAGCGTGGCCCTGTGGGTAGACTGGCTCATGAGCATTTCTTCACTCAAGCTTGCACCACACACTACTGCGGACATCACGCATGTTGCCAAACTAATTTCCCATGGACGTGAAGGTTACCCTACGCTGGCTTGCCAGGAGATGGCAGTACAGCAAGTGGATTAAACTCCATCTGTTTCCATCTGTACGGGGGGGGGGGGGGGGGGGGGGGGGGGGTTAGGGTGTTGTACCCTCTTATGAGAGGGTTTTCTCCAGGCGCCCCAATTTGCTCCCGGATGTATAAACACATTAATTGGCCGAATACACCTCAATCCACGGAGAATTGCAGATTTGGGGAATTGTTGGCACAGGCTCCCCACCTGGCTACCTTCTAGCTTGTCCGTGGATCCTCACGCTTGTAAGGCACTCCCCCCGTCTCCTCTAAGGCGAGTGAAAACTACTCATTACAAGTATAAATACTATGATTATTATCATCTTCAATTCTGAAATTTCAACTCCTGAAGAAGCCCGCAGCAGTGCCTGGTGAACATGTGGCCTAACTCGGAAGACCGTACGTTAAGAACTGCTCCTGGTAACATTCTGAATGGATGGGAGTCAACCCAGGAAAATGTACCTCAAATGTGTTACATCTGCCCTGAAGCAATTATATACGCACGGTGCGCCATTTCATATGAAACCTATTTACAATCCATCTGCCAAACTGCAAGGATCTAAAAAAAAACTGATGAGCACCGATTAAGGAAGGCATTAGACAATGTTCAACACCGGTGTGGTTTCATGCACAGATGTGCGGTGTGTTTTTTCCAGCGGTAACCCATGAAGAAGCACACTCGTTCTGTAAGCAGAGGCCACAGCACATTAAATCGTGGCATGAATTTACCAAAAACCATTAATAAACACGTAGGCGGTTTACGTGTCCCCCAGGCGTCACTAGGAAGGGGGGAAAAAAACACGTATAAATTATACAGCGAGTGAAGAGAAAAAACACACCCGCGCAGTGTCACTCAAACCCGCGAGCGCAATTCATCGCTTAATTACTCTGTTGGGAAAAAAATAGAACAATCTAAAACTCACATAATCGTGAGTTATTTTGAAAGAACACACATTGTTTCTAGAGATTAATTTCCCAATAGAGCAGCCATAGGGACTACGACATAGGGACTACGACAAAGTGGTGTAAGTAGAAAGTTATCTGACAGTAAGGTACGGCACATTGATTGGGCAGTGAAAGTTTGATCACAGCCTACCATTATTCTATCAAGCAGAAAAAAGTATTTGCCTGACAAGAGCTTGGAAAAAATATATCATATCTACTCCGCAACTTGGGAGATGAGATATTATTGAATTATTTTGATGCTCACAATTTTTCAGTGAACCACAACACCACAACATCACCTTACCACAGAGAGGCCACTCTTACATGGGTCATCATGATCATTCAGGCTCTTGAGCCGAGACCTTGGATAATTACCGGAACAAAACAGTAATGAATAATTAAATTAGATTTTTGTTGTTTACAAAATTCCCTGAAGGGCCACTTATATGTTTGAGTATTGTTGTAGCTCAACAGTGCACTTCGCCAAGTCTGCCTAGCAGCTATGACAATGGGATATATTGTAAATATGGGCAAGAAAACAAATTAAAACTAAAGAGTGTGTGACACTAAACTTGCATGTGTGTGTGTGTTTACGGTAGTGTAGCGGTTAGTGCGCTGCCCTACGAACCTGGCGGCCAGAGATCGATTCCCACTCACGGCCAACACCAGTGATGATTATGTGAACCGGTGATGAGACTCCCCTAGGTCGACTCAGCCTCAAATGAGTACCCGGTGCAGTGTGTAAACATTGCCACTGGGGAGACAAAGGCAGCCGGGCATAGTGCTGGCCACCTACCCCCTCGTGTGCCGTTCTGGCCTTCATAAGGTGCTCACAAACAGCACTTGCTTCTACAGTCTGTTAAGGCTATACGGGGGATCTTTTTCTTTGTTTTTTGTGTTTAGCCCAGCTTGACCGCGATCAGCAGGATCACACATACACTGGCCAATGTGGAAGGACGCTGGTTAACAAACAAGTCAATTTCAACGAGCTGATTTGCCCACGAGGCTAAAAGATTGGGTGGGACAGAAGATCACTGGCAAAGCCTGCAGATTCGTGGTGCAGAGAGGAGGAAACGTGATGGCTTTGTCGTGAATTCACACCAATTCCGGAGGTGGTGGAGGAACTCATTCTTGAGAGATCCGATTGGCCAATGGCAGCGTCGCCCTCACCGTCACCTCTCCCACACCGAGCGCCGCAAGGGGAGCGATGGCCAAGGGCCGCCCAAACAAACACGGCGCGCTCATCAGCAGGTCGGTTAGCGATGCCACATTGGCAGTGGTGCGCACAAGCCGAATCAACATCTAAAACTCACATTCGTCAAGAACGCTGGGGCCTTAAAATAAAACACTATACTGTATATATAACCGGCCACGCTTTCTGGTAAATGGCCGCTATTCGTAGAATACAAATAGAAGGGCCACTACCCGCAACACCATCAATGATAGATTTTTCTTGCTAAGGTCACACTGTTATTGACCAATGCGCTAAGTTCTCATTATTATTATTTTAGCTAGATGGTACACCAATGTGCCCTGCTGGAAGGGCCGCATGACACAGAAAAAGACGGAATCCTAAGACAACTGACACATTTGGCAAAAGTTGCCCGACAAAGCACCTTTCGAGCAATGGGTTTTTAGCGAGGGCATCGGAAACATGGGCGGTGCAAACAATATCAGCAATGTCAACTCGAGGGCTTCGATCCGGCCACTGTGAACCTCCAGATGCACTCTTTGCCAACCTCCTGCATTGTAAAACGTCAAACCGCAATGAGGGAGGGGACACCCGGTCGCAACTCGCGCAAGCAAGGAAACACGCTCGGCCTGCGAGTGGACAACGTGACAATCCTCATGCAAGGAGCAATGCAAGGAACACTATACTTACGTGATGACAGTCCGGGGATATCTTATCGTCCACCTGTGGGCAGAAAGATGGGGGGGGGGGGGGGATAAGAATCAGCAACAACACGCAACCCATTTCTCCATCGCAGGTCGCGCATCACAGCGCCGGCACCAGGAGCCGGCAAGCAGCAGGCGTTTAATAACGCGGGAGAGCTCCCCAGTTTAAAGCGATGCAGACAGACGAGACAAGGCACGTCAATTTTACATGCGCCTGCCAAGTGGACGGTATACAAGAGGCATGATGGGACCTGTGTCTTATGGTCTGCGAAACCACGGGGGCAGTTTAAGACAGACGACGTCCCTGAATGACTCCCTGCAGCGACGAGAAAATTAGTATTTCCTGCGTTGGTCGTAACACAAAATGAGCCTCTCCCATGTGTCAAGCGAAGCGCTCCCGATGACACAGGCAGCCAGCGAGCCGGTGGATCAGTCGCTTACCTTCCTAACGACCAAGTAAGCGGGCCCATGAGGAAAAACTTATTTTGCGAGGGAAACTGGGATTTAAACAAACAAACAAAAACACCGAGAAGGAATACGACGGAGAGAAAAGTGAGTACAAGAGGGAGGCTGCAAGAATTTGGGTTTGTAAAGTGGCCACACACTGTGCTGCACTGCCAGCCAGTAGCTGTGCCGATTAGTGGCCAATTTACGGGGCGTGGCTTTGCCTTGTGCTCGTTACGGGAAAGGAAAAGCATGCCTGCTTGGATAATTCGTGGGCACCGACAAGTTGACGTGCACTCTCCTGGGGAGAACTGCAGGCAGACGATTGAATTGTAACTGTGTAGGCATTCATCAACCGGTAACTGAGATGAGGTGGCATATGTACACCTGTGACCCAGCTTCCACGGGGGGAGGGGCCCGATGGCTCATTGTCTGCGAGGCTATGAGGTGCCCAAGAGATGGCGGCGGTGTTATGCCGACTCGCTGTTTCTAACCTCGTTTCTGACGCGCGAATCCGGCGAGTACACACATTTGGGCGCCATCGCCAAGCATCCACACTCCATCAATGGACGAAATCACCAATAATGCACGCGGTCTCATCAGATCCAGAAGCTAATCAACATTGAGCCTGGATGAGTGATCCACCATGCACTACAGATTGCTGCTGCTGCTGCTGCTGTAGGCTTTGTGGGTCATTGTTGTACTTCCACACTGCTGTGTGTCCATTGTTTGTGCGTTTCCCTGTCTTCATCAACCCACAATACCCGTCCAGCATGGCGAAGAACGGTCCCTGCATGGCGTTGGGGAGGCAGTCACCCGGCACTGGACTGGCAAGCGAGGGTGCACACGCACACTTAAATATGCACTCCATTTTCTTCTCAAACACAATCGCTCCTTGAGGAATTGATTTGAGTAAAGGCGCTCTATAAATATTAAATAAGATAAGATTTAAACATCCTCTTGCAGAACCCTCGTGAAAGAGAGCTTCGAGTGAGGCTTTACTGGGTAAAGAACTCCAGTCAGTGTCTTCTTGTTCAAACAATAAAAATGGCAAAACTCCCGTTCTCACCGGCCAGCCCAGTGGTGGAAATTCCACATTCCTATGACGGGGGCCTTCGGATTTTCCCTCCGTATTACAAACACCGTTGACTTCTCAAAATGTGCCATTCCTTTTCAGCTCCACATTTTATTTCAAGCTGTGCTCCTGGCGTCATGTCATGAGATGACATTTTCATTTGCAATTCTCACAGAACATGGCCACATGTTAGTGTCTCTTTGAAGGTGATGTTACAGAACTACTTTTGAAATCCCTTCCAAGTGACTTCCTATCCAAACTAGGGAGACACTGTACTCTCCTATGCTCCTACTGTCGAGATGCTCATCATATGGCATTAAAACCTTTATGCTGATTCACAGAGTTGGAGTTTTGGTCACATTAAGTTTAATAAGTTGGGTTTTTAGTGCTGCCACTGGTGGTCAGGATGAGGCCATGAACACACTAAACTTGAAAATCCGGTTTCATCATAGGTGGCTGTCCAGATCTGGACCCAGCGTCTCAGTCGTGCTGGCTCGGCTCTCGACCCAAGGAGCCACCCGGCCACCTCTATCGCTACTCATTTTTACCAACCACACAGGAATGATGATGGGTTGAAGTTGGCCTCCCTGACAACCATTTGAACACTGAATCAACCACCCTACCCGAAAGCACCCACCTGGCTGGATAAAAGCTAACGTTCATAATAATATTATTCTAACTCTATTCTGTTTCTGTGTGGCAACCTGAAGGCAACACCAGTGTGGTGTTGGTGCCGACCAAGGAGAGTAAAGTGTGACTTTCCTTCCCCGACATTCATTTATTTGAGAGTCAAAACCCTCCACCAGGGTTTCTGATTATATGCGGGTAAGCATTCCTTCTTCATTCAAACGCGCATGCAAACAATCTGTTGCGGCTCATATATACGTTTGATTTGTGTTTCCTGCCGAGTATGTTTGCGTCCAAAGCAACAGGCAGAGAAGTATTTAAAAGGCCCAAGTCAAAGAGTCTCACCCTTCTCAAAAGGAGCACGTGGGGCGGTGAACAGATGGATTTTCGGCCCGGAGCCAGTGGTAGAAAATTTCACGTTTAAATTCCAGAAGCCAGTATAGAAAAACCACTGTTGACTTTCCAGAAAGTCGTGGGGTTACATTTAACGTATCCCTATAAATCAAACACACCCAACATGACAACTCGGAAGCTAAGCAGGGTTTGAGAGTTCGGTCTCTACTTGTGCGGGAGATTGCTTAATCGCAAGCATTGAAGGCTTAGCATGCGAGGTGGCTGGGAGGTAGAAACATGGATTTAATGAATGTATCTGTGACCATTACCACGTTGTTTCAATGCGTTCTCCGGTTCTCTCTCCCACGTGCCAAGGTCTCATGAATGGAATTGGCCAAATCCACCAATGGCAGAACCCTCCCCTTAAAAACAGTCTCAGCGAGGTTTATTCTGGATAAAGGGGCAACGTTGTTTAGTATTAGTCGTCATTTTGTCAACGTCGAAAGTATGACTTGCTGTGCTGACAACACGGAATTTGAACTCAAAAGAATGTTGTGCTTTGTTATTGTCATTGGGGTAGAGTGACGGCACAGGGATTAGCACACCGCCTTGTCAAGTATGAACCTGGTGACCCGAGTTTAATTCCAGTGCGCGGCTAACATCAGCGACAAGTGATATTATATTTAACATATTTATTTGTAAATTTCAACTCCAACAACGCGTACAAGATAACGCAGAACTGGTGTACGCAGCGTCCAGCCGACCATCAAATAGATGACTAATATTAGAAGCCCATGGTTACAATATAGGAAACAGCAGGGAGGAGGAGGACAGGGAAGCATAGACGATGACAGGAGGTAGGAAGGGGGCGAAAAAGAAACGAGCGACAGGAAGAATATATAATGGGTGAAAGGGTCCGATATGAAGCAAGCCAACAACAAAGGGAGACGAACCCGTCCCATAAACCATCAGCGGGCCCTGCGACAAGAGGCCCGAGATGCTCCCGAGAGGCGTTCTCGAGTATCAGACTCAGCCAGGGCTCTACTGTGGACAGGCTCACAAGTCTCCCATTGCCTCGGCGGGACGAGTCTAAAGGCACGAAGGGCAATTATCGATGGGAGCGCTACATGAGGCCGAGATCGATGGGACGAATACCCGATAGGCACGTACGGACAGAAGGGAGCGCGGATGTCACTAATAGGTAATTGAGAAATTGGGTGATATCCTGCTACAGGGGTTTAAAACCTTTGGGCACAGCCAAACGACGTGAAAGGAGAGGCCTGTATGGTTTGAGTGGAGCGATCAGGACAATGGGGGCTCTGTGGCAAGAAGCGCCGCGCTCTGCGCGCTTCGTGTGCCTGATACGGGGCTATGGATGAGGCAGCGGCAGGGACGCATAATTATAATAATTATTATTGCCCTCAATGGGTGGAATCCCAACTCTTGAGACCAATCTGCCTCTTCAAAAGCTGAGTCCACACACGGTCCTTCCACAGCCAAGTTGTCTGCACTATTTTCGGAGGGCTGGGAGTCTTTAAGACTGAACAGAAATCATACGTTGTGGGGGGGGTGTGGGTAGCAGGGGGTTTGAGTCCATGGAGAATAATCCTGGGGGTGCCTTCAGTTACCTTAAAGCGAGCAGATAGCACTTGTAATTTGGAGATCTCTAATAAAATAAGATTTAGGTACTTGACATTTCTCTTTAAGGGTCTCAAAAGAGAGCCACAACCCCAACCCCCGTGAGCCCCCCTGACGTGAGATCACCAATTCCCACGAGGGCTACAGTCGTTCCAGCGGGAGCCCACTCGCTTGCCGATCTGAATGCGGGGGTTTCCCCATTAGATCTGAGAGGGAAGTACCTGGCCAATCTCAGCCTGTCCCAGATTGTAAATAAATGGGACACACTGATGGACAGAGGGATTTCCTTAGAAGGGGTCGGGGTGGATCCTTAGGAAGGCATCTAAGAGACCCTCACGAGTCCAGGGGGAGACCTCTACATCAACTGAACCGTCCCAAGTCTGCGTACCGAGTAGGAATCCATCGAGAGTCCGCTGGCCGAGCGACCTCTCAAATGGATCTGGGTTGCGCCGTCCTCAGGACGGCCCGAGCAGCGTGCTCCGCAGCCTCGTCACACCACCGATGAAAAAGGCGGTGTGACGAGGCTCCCATCCAATGGTGGATTCACAAAGAGCTGCACCGACTGTTGTGATTAACCAAACATTACACACACACACTTTCTAAATCGAATGTGGAGTACATTGCGTTGTCTATGGTTCTAGACCTTTTCAATTGGCTTCTGCTAACACACAGTTTAGTACGCCTCTATAATTATTTACTTGCTACGTTTTGCGGAGGAAAGCCTCGCCGAGGCCCAGTACTTTTCTCAGGAGGGTCCTGCCAAGTTTTCTTAGGAGGGGGGCGACGCTGCGATGCGGAATCCAAATGGAACCACTGAAGAATAAACGGCGTGCCACTTTAGAGGCTGCCGCCAGTTGTTTTCTGGTGGGGGACTTAGGCCTGCCATAGGAACGAGGAGTCTT